TAACACTAACTAGTAAGGAACCATCCTAACACTGACTGAGTAATTAGATAACTTAACAAATCTCTCCCATTTCTAATAGCTACAATTTTTTTTAAGAAGCAAGAATGATACAGCTGGCTGACTTCTAACTAGATTCTTGAGCCCATTTAGTACCTTATATAAGAGTGGGATTTTTGCTCCTTGATCTTAGTGTCAATTCAGTCCCTACCCTAATTTAGAACAACCTCACAGCTGCTCTATGTCAGGGGTTTCAACCTTTTTGGATCAGTGTACCCCTGGCAGCTGGACGTGGAGCAGTGTACCCCCAGTGGTCAGGTGCAGAGCGAGGGGGCAGGCGATGCAGCCAAACGCATAGCGGCAGCAGCTGCCACGTGAGCTTCCCCCGCCCTCCTGTGTTCGGCTGGGTGGGCAGTGCCTGCATGGCAACACAGGATGGTGCGTGGCGGCACTCCGTCTCTTCCTGCCCACATGTACCAGCTGGGGCCTTCTCACATACCCCCAGTTGACAACCCCTGCTCTGTGATATTTGGCTGCACATGGTCTGAAAGCTATGTATTACTAGATTACATCTGCACTCTTATTTTTGGTTGTGCTTCTGATATTGGATTGAAAGTAAGTATGGTGTAAGGCTGGTTATGATAGCTCTTTATCATTGGAAGATGTCATTACACCAGGCAAAGCCTCAGCTGACTAACAGAACAAGTGGCAAATCTGCTTTGCTTGCTAGAGACTGATCTTCAGATGGTGAAAATTCCCATTGCTCCTTTATGTTCACACCTATGAGGTTCAGGCCTTAAAAGAAGTTTTTAATGGGCACATTTACATGTGCGCTTTAATGTGTATTAGCCTATTGAAATGTGCATTACAGCATCACAAAAAACTCATGCTCTTTAGCTAGTGCTCATTAAAATAGGCTAATGTGCATTTTTCTACTACCTCACAATGGAGGTACTACATTTAATGCACATTACCTAAAGCGCATTAATTAATGTGTAGATGCACCCAGTGAGTCTAACAAGGCAGTCTAGCTTTTCTGCCATGAAGACTTTAGTCTACATACATAGAAGAGGCATGCAGCAAAAGCAATAACAATGCAAGCTTGCCTCATAAACCTGGTCATATACCTCCACTGTGACCTAAGATAAACTGTTCAGGATACTTTCATGTAGAATACAAGTAATCAAGTGTCCATTCAGTTCTTAGAGTTGTAATTTAGATTGCTAACAAGAGTGGTAGTTAATACGCATTTGATTGTGAGAATGGTTTTTCCTAAGTTGCTACTTTCCTCTTGCTCAGAACATATTCATACTACAACTTAATTCTCTTCTTATAAATACTCCTTTAATGTTTCAGCAATAGGTGTGCTCTGCCTCCAGGGACCAAGCATCTAACCAAGTGCTTCTCCAGCTGCACTATTTTTGTGAGATACAGCAATCTTGGTGTGGATGAGATTATACATAGTGTAACAGTCTCCATGTCCTAATTTATTTAAGGACTCAATGATTAGAAAGAGAAGTTTGCAATCAGGCTCAAAAGTGAATGGGGAGCCAGTGAAGTGTGGAGCATGGGAGTAATATAGCACCTGATGCTCTTGCTGTTCAGAAGGTGATGTGTATATTACCATAGACTCTGTATGGCTCAAACATGGATCACCAGCTGGCACTTCGACTGTCCTATTACTGCTCATAAGTCACTTCATAATTACTGTAAATGGCTAACATCATATTCAATTTTACTGAAGAAAGCTCCCCATGACTTACTGGCACTCGGATATGATGATGACTGAAGCATGACTTAAATATGAACTTAAAAGCTAAGTACAGACATCTGGGGAAGTTAAATTGGGTTCAAAATGGCTGTCCGATTTCAATTTAACTCCTCCCAGTTTTGACCTTACACTTACAGAACTGGTCTGAGTGACAGTTTAAAGCTGTAACTGTACAGAAGTTCCAAACATTGGTTTGACCTAAATCAAGTAAGTTTGATACGACATAGATCCAGATTTATCTTAAACCAGGTTCTGGAATTTTTAGCCTGGTTTGTGTGCATGGAACTTCTTTATACTTCCCTGCACAGTCCCGGGGCTAGGAAAACCCAGCCACTGGCCTCAGCCACAGGGTTCCTTTTCACTCCTTCCCCCCACCCCCCCATACTGGGCTATTTTTTGCTCCCAAGCATCTTACTCTCCATCCCCACCAGCCAGCCCTCTCAACCCCCATCCCACAAGCCACTCTAGGTGCAGCCCTGTTAGTGTTTGCCACTGCTGGAGCTAAGCAAGTAAGTCCCATTGTGGGGAAGGGTGGGAGACATGGGGTGTAAGTTTGCTGGGACCCCATCAGTTAGTCAAACTAACCCGCAGATCATGTCTCATCTGCCTACCCCACCTGTGGGTCATGCCACCCCTGCGGGTCACATCAGCCCCACCCACAGGTCATGTCGACCCCCCCACCTCTCCTGGATCATGCCTGCCTCTTATCCCCTGGTGAACCCGATCCCCTCCAGCCTGCTGGACCTGCAACCCCACCCGACCCCAATCCTGACTTACCTGATATTGGGCAGCCATTTTGAACCGATTTAACCTCCCCCTAACACTCCCAAATGTCTGTACTCAGCCTAAATGCTTTTCTTGTAACTCCCACGTCTTCCCCTTTCTGAGAAAATTATCCCCTAACTGCCACAAAGTCACATGGTTTGCATGTAGCAAAGTTTCAAGACAGAGAGATTAACTATATGTTATCTTTAGCTATTGACATTTCTCAGGCCCCATTTCATGAAGGCTTCTTTAAAAAAAAAAAGAAAAAAATCTTGCTCAATGATGATGTTGAAGGAAGCTCTCTCTTTCACAAACTGAAAGTACTTCTGATAATTATAAAACAGTTAAGTACCATCCTGCACCCCTAAACGTCATCATTACTACTCAGCTATTCTTCAAAGGAAAATTACTAGAAAGCTTTTAACTGAGCTCATTTAAAATTGTAAGTTGCCAGATGTTAAGTACAAGGAGTGCACATGGCCACCAGAGTTTATAATTGAATTAAGTTTCCATAGACAAACAACAAGTCTAATATGCTGGCTTGGAGATTTTCACTGTGATTAGCTGCACATTTTACACAATCCCCACATTACTATTTAAACACTGAAGAGATGGAAATTAATCTTTGGAGATACAGTAGCTAAGCCCATATCTGGGTCATTTTCAGAACACTCAAGAGTTTTGTAAACAGATTTTTTCTGTGAAATGTATTTTCTTCTTGCACAAAGAAAACACTGCATGTGTTTTATACTGTCCTTTAGATGCATTTTTTTCTGGATACTATCATATACTGTATTTGGAAAAAATACCCGATTTCTCCAAGAAACTCATCTCATGAATCATGTCAACAGCTGCAGCTGTATTAGTGCCCAACATATTGTCAGATATTGTAACCTAATGTCTTGGGATATGCTGTGTTACACTGCATGTTCATTTTTTTCCCCAATTACTATGCCCTATTTGGTTCATTACCACTGTAATATACATCTTGAACCCAGATATTTTTGTTGTTAAAGAGACTGGAATGAAAGAATGGACCACACTTAATTCATACCAGAATGAAAATGTATTTTCACGGGGGAATGTATTTTCATTCCATTTTATTTTCTCAGCTATTATCTCAGGTTTGGGGCTTGCTTTAAAAAAAACAAAATAACATGGCTACTAGGGTTGTGTGAAGCTTCATTAGCCGATTCGATTCGGAGGAGGTTCAGCCCAATTCAGTAGCCAAATCTCCAAGTTGAATTGGGAGAAAGGTCCGAATTAAAATTAAAAGGTCCAAATTGAATCAGAAGCCTCTGAATTGATTCAGAAAATATTTGGCGCTGCTTTGGAGATTCGGCCATAGACTAAACAGGCAGCAGTCTGCACCACGCTGGACACAGCTGCCTCCAGCTGGTAAGTCTGTTGTGGGGTGCAAGATGAGGGCGCCCTCATCCAGCGTCCCTCTGCCCCCCTCCCCAAGTCCCACACTCCCCCACCCCGGCTGGGCAGCTTGTCCCAGCCCCAGCCCACAATCCCTCTCTCCCCCATGTCCCTTCCCTTCCCACCCCACCCACCACAACAGACTTACCAGCTGGAGGCAGCTGTGTCCAGCATGGTAAGGACTGCTACCTGTTTAGTCTATGGCCAAATCTCCAAAGCAGTGCCGAATCTTCGGATCCAATTTGGCCAAATTGAATTGGAACAGTGATTCGAATCTCCAAATCAAATCACCATCCCTCTAAATTGACCAAATCCGAAGCGAATATTTGCCGCTTTGCACAGGCCTAATGGCCACATTCTTTTAGTGGCTTTTATGAAGAGAGATCACTTCTGCCATGATTTATGTAGTTTGGTTTTATTTCTGTTTTGTTATTCTGCCTGAAAGATCTTGAGGCACCAAAAACATTATAAAAATAAATGACCCCACCATAACTTTCTATCCATTGCAGTGTTAATATAAAACTACTTTTTATATTGCCATCTAGTGGTGGTTAATAGTCATTTATAAGTCAATGCATTTGGTAGACATCTCCAAGTAGTACAAGATTATGTTAGTCTTGGGCAGAATGAAAGAGATTTCTGAGCTAGCTGAAGAAAATAAAGATGTACAGAGTTAGTATCAACAGAATGGAAACAGAAGTAGAACAAGTTTTAAAGGGTTTCTATTTCAACTGCAGAAATGCTGCTGTTATCCTTGGTAAAATGCTGCAAATGTGGTATTTCATTGCAAATAGGGATGTAATATACAAGAACACACACGCATATGTTCTTGCATATTAATTTAAAATCCCAAAATATATATATATATTAAATATAGGGGAAAGAGCTGACGCCTCTCTTAGAAACCTTATGAACTATCTGATATTACAAAAGGAAGAGTGGTGCACAAAGAAATAAATGAATGTTAAAAATGAAAACACCCTTATTTTAGTTCAAATTAGTCATCATGAAAATATTATAAAAACTCAAAATGTTTGTGTGCTGAAATTTTGAAAGATTTAATGAAATTGCTCAGGACATGACAAGGAATCAAGCAGAGATGGTATATTGGTAACCATAAGGAAATGAAGCAGAATATAAAAAAAATTCTTGCACTACCATCTAGTGGTAGTCTAAGGGAGAATAACAAAAGTTAAGGTCTTTAACAATGACAGTAGTCAGTAATATTTGTAGGCTGTGGACCAGTGACCTAGTTTGGGTCAGAGGCTGGTGGATAGGCAAGGCGCTAGGACTCAGCCACTGCTACCACTTTTCCCTGCAGCAGCACAGTAAAGCAGACTTCAGTCTGTTGCTGAAGTCTCCCACTGATGAAACACCACTTCTATGAGCTAGATCACATGGGTCTGCAGCCCAGTTCTTGCCTACAGGCTGCCAACCCCTGGTATAGGGAAAGAATGGTTTGAAGTTATTTTATCTGGAACCTTAGGTAATCTATCTGTTTTACTCGTTAGAGAATATCTACATTTTTGCACAATTCTTGTTGCTACAGGGCACTGTTATGCTCCCAATCATCATTAATGACTGGTACAATGTCTTCTTATTGTAATGAAGATATTGCTTCACCACAGTTAATGGGCCCAATGCATGATGATGATGATGATGAATTAAGCTACAATAACATAATGACAAGAGAAAAATAGTTAGCAATGTTGGTCTGAAATCAGGTAGAAGGCATGCAGATTTGTTCCATAGATTAAGTTAGATTGCTGTTCTTTGCCTCAAGAATCATTCACTTCCGCAGTGTCTGTGTATGACTGACTCGCTGTCCATTTATAAGATGTGGACAGATTGGCTGACTATACCCAGCCCTGGTTATTCAAAAACTATTTTGTCCCACAACAATCTGAATCAATCTGTTCTTTCCAGCCAAGACCATTTCTTGGGCCAAAAAGCAGTTCTGGCTGCCCTCCCAATCTCATTAACACAGAGATTTAGTAACTTGATATCCTCTGTTCAGGGACTACAAACATTTTAAAATTGTTTACCTAATTATATAACTTTGCATTTTTGTTTTCAAAATGATAGCCTGAAGTTTTCTTGACTTACATAATATTTCATATCAGTCATGACTAAATATATACATATAAGCTTAGCGATCCCTTATGTTTACATAATTATGATTGACAGCAACAGGGAAAAGGAAGGGGCTATGGTAGGAGGACAAACAAAACAGGGATCCAATTACATGGCTACCCAGTTTGTTGTTGTTTTTAGGTGTCTTAGTTTTTACCTGTGAAATACCTTTTTGACCAGCTGATGCCAGACCTACATCTGTGGCAATTTACGCATTTCTGGAATGTAGAAAGCTTCTCCCATTTGAGGTGAGAATCCATACCAACTGTCAGACTACTGTAGCTGCTTTTAGCTGCATTTTGGCTCCCTATACAATTGCTTGAGGTGGGGGGTGGGCATTTTAATTAGAGCGGTTGCCAGAGAGCTGCTCTAACTTAAATGCCGCGGTGCCACATGTATTAAGCCCCCTTGCATTTAAAAATGTCTGCAGTACACTTTATCTAAACCTAGTGGAATGAGGTTTAGATAAGCGCCCTGTGGCCAATTTAAAATGCACAGGAGCTTAATACATGTGATACTGCAGCAATGCTGGAGCGTTCTAATTAGGCTGTTAGGTAGGATGGGAAAGGGAAGAGGAGGAAACCCTAGCAGCTGCATGGCAGGGCAAGTTAGATCTGCAAGAAGACTGGTAGGCTGGCTTTATGTTGAGGAGAATAAAGAAAGGCAGGAGTTACTGGGACAGCAGTGGATGTGTTCATGGAGCTCCATTATGCATTTGCTGCTTTGCAAGGAATTCAAGACTCTTCAGTTGTTGCTTACTAATAGCATGGCTCAGTGATTGATGTGAACACTATAAACATAGGAGGTACTGGGGTGATTCAGTGAGCTAACCTGGGATCTAAAGGTGAGTAAATCTGTAATCATTAGCTTGTCCATATAACAAAGTTGGATTAGTATCAAATTAATCAGAAGCCTAAATGAAATCAACATAGAAACTAGCAAATACAGCTGCTGCAACACTTCCACCCTGAGACCTTCAGAGCTTAAATTTTCACTGAAAACTTACTTTCTCCCCATTCTCTCTCCTCAGCTTAGGATAATTGATGTCCCTTCTTTGAACAAAAAACCATGATTCACTCAAGAGGCTCTGCTGATAATATGAATTTTAAAACTAGGACTTGAGTGTTTTATGAATGACAGCAGAGCCCTGAACACAAATTACAGCCTTGTATTTAATCTGAGGCCACCAACTGCTATTTTCAGTTTAACATATTAAGACTTTGTTTTAATCTTTTTTCATTTCAAATATTAATAAATTAGCTTTCCTTTTTAAATTATTTCAAAAGAAAACATGGATTAACATGACAGGATATTACCCTTCTCGGTAATGTTAAATCTGGACAAAATATACACCCAAATCTTTTGAACTGTTCCCAAGTACTGTCTAGTATTGTGACACTGCTCTGGGTTGGAAGAGCATTCAGTGTTGTGCTGTGAAAGATTAGAAGAGCCAACATATACAATATTACCATCAGCAGATTTCTAAAACACAGCAAAGAATACCTTGTATCAACAAGAATCTGAGTTTGGTATTGGTTTGGTTTATAAGTAAGAAATCTCAAAGTATAATGCACAAACTTAAGAACATGAAAGCAAGCACTCTACATTTCTTTACCCAAAATATTTAGGGCCAGATCCTTAGCTAGTGTAAACTGGATTAGCTACGCTGCTTTCAGTGGAACTAGGCAAATATACTCTAGCTAAGAAGCTGGCCTGCCGAGTCTGACAATAAATGTATTTTAAATCAGACCCATTACAGTCAAGTTTCACTGTTCTAAAAGCCTGTTTCCAGGTATTTAGCTTCTCTATTAAAGCTGGTCTGGGATTAGTTTTTTTATTCTGTACTCTAGTAAAATTTCCACTGGTGTGATTGGGGATGTCAGAGTAAGGGTTTCAGGACAAGGGCTCTTGAGTAGTACAATCCACTATTCTCATAAAAACTGGAATAAAAAAAAATATAGAGATTTTAACAAATAATTTCCATCAATGTAAATTCTAAATGTTATAGGTAAACCTTATTTAAAAAAACAAACAAACAAGCATTGAATTTAAAATCATTTCAATAATAGTCTAAATACTCAAAAAAAACCCTCACTCAATCAAAATGCTTTCAGTTGCCAGATTCAGAGTCACAAAAGCAAAGTGTCATAATGTTTAGAAGCACAGTCTTAAATTCCGTGTATTACAATTTTGTGTTTTTTTTATTTATACATTTGTACCAATTCTTTTAACTGAAAATTATACTTCAATTTGTACAAATCACCCATAGTTTAAACTGTATAGTTACATTTTCATTTAAATCTCATAAGTTTAGCAGGGTAATTAATGATTCTCTAAAGTTTTATTCCTCCCAAACATTAATATACAATTTATCAATCTTAGTGTTTTGTTTTTCCCCTTTTTATTTTATGTTACAGTAATTGAACAATTAGAATTAAATACATTGGGCCAGATCCTTGGGTGTGACCGATGAGCCATGCAGGGCAACAGCAACTCACCTTTGCATACGCCTCCCCCTTCTCCTCCTCCCTCACCCCCAGTTCTGTTGCTTCCTTTATACAGGGCCAGTCCTCTGCACATGGTACAACAGTCTAAGGGATGCTTTAAATTACACCAGCTACAAAAGCCGCACTGTGGCAGAGTAAAGGTATATGCAGGGACGTCCAAATCTACATCCCTTTTCATAAGATCCTGCTCTTTTACCTTGATACACCAACAGTGGAAAGGAACAATCTATGAACCAATTTCCACTGCAAGATTACTCTTTTAAAAGTGTGAGACCTTCTCTGGGCCAGTTACATTGGCCTTCTGCTTACGGATGGTTATAATACCATAGCTACATTGCACCATAGGATCTAGCCACAAAATGATCGTGCAAATGTAATCTCTTTTAAAAGATACTTTTTGATGCATTTAAATCTTAACCAATAACAACACAGTATCAATGATGCACGGTATATTTTACTTAGTCACAAAGGCACCTTCCTCTGCTATTGGAACAAGTGCATTTTCAGAAGTGTTCTCCAAACAACATTTCCTTTGATATTATTCAAATTAAAGTATCATGTCCTTATTGTTAAGTAAATTAGTAAAATACAATATAAATTGATTTTCCTGCTTCACTGCAGTTTCAGGAGGGCTAGAGGAAAACAATTGTAATGTCTTATTCTAAGTCTTCTGCAAGTATTCAGAATAGTAATTATTCCAAACGTGTTCTATGCTTGTGACAAGAAACAGTCCTCTACTAATTCACAAACAGTATTAAGTGCAGCCCTTCCTACAACAATCAAGTATTGTTATCCATTACTGTTAATGTCCAAGAGTCATCCTCTTTATTCGATGAAGCAGGTTATCTTTTTCCATATGCAGTTCAGCTAGAGCCATTTTAGCTTTGGATAGTTCTTGTCTAAGATATTCGTTTTCTTCAATAAGCTGCAATGATTAAGTTGAAAAAAGAAACATATTAATCTAAAAAAGATAGATATTAGTTTCTCTCTCTATTGCCAACTTTCTCTTCTCAGAGTAAGATTTACAGGTGTTGTGATGGATGCTCAGCCTGCTGGCTTGGGTGCAACTTTAATGGCACCAGGAGTACTGGAGACATTTCTGGAGCTTGTGACAGGTGGTGAGGGGGACATAGTTTGAAGATGAGGCTTCTCTTTAGGTTGGGCTCCCCGTTTCACTTTCCCCCTTCCTAATCTTAATCTAGTAGCTGGACCATGGGCTCAGCTGAGCTCCAGTTTTAAAATCCAGGAAGGGATTCTTCCTATACAGGAGAACTGATAAATTGTTATGTGGGTCTTACTCTTCCATTCAGGATATGGGAGAGGTTTCTGGGGGTATTTAAGATTTCATTGTATTTTGTGCATTAAAAAGGGACTGACTGACCTACTTGGTCCTTAGGCCTGGGCATGAGGTAAGAATACAACTGTAATCAAGTCTTCCTCACCTTATAACTCTCTCATATCTGGTGTGGAGGTGTGCTGCATAAGACCCTGGCATCTATCTGGGGTCCCTTGACAGGTCTGAGGCTGCAGAAGGCATAGGCTCTCTCACCCATCCTCATGTTTAAGGTGTACTGGGACCACTGGCACTAGCTAAAATTCACTGGAATAATCCCACCAGCTAGTTTACAGTATGTTATCCTAGTTAGGCAATAAGTTTTAAAGAAAACAGCATTTGACCATATTCCCCATTATTTTTTGTGAAATCCTGCTAAAGTACATAGCAATCTAGTAATTAACAACTGCAATGTCTTATGATTATAAAACAATTAATAAATTTAAAAAATAATGTAATGTTGTTAATACCTCTTGTCTGTGGAGGTCAGTTGAAATCCTACTTGATTTGGAAAGTATGGGAATTTCTGGAGATGCCTGGGTGGCTTGATCCTTTGTTTTGTGTTTGGAAACTCTACCAACTGGCTGCATCATCTTGCTTGACTCCTTGTACACCGATGCATCATTTATTGTTTGATTATCTATTTCATAAAGACAAAGAAGATCATTTGAAATATTTAGCTTTTATTTATTCAAATTAGTACTGAATAAAAACTACTATAAAATAAATTTTTATCATTAGATTTTAATACACCAAAAGCTTCTGGTCAGTACAACATTAAAATGGAAGGTCATGATTTTAGCGGGAAAAAGTTGTCACTATCCTGCAGCTTAGAGAAACTAGTAGTAAATATGAAACAAAGAAAAAACATCATTAGTGCAGAAAATATATTTTAAATGGCTATTTATTCATTATTATTTGCAGACTCAATATTATTTTAGGTCCTGATCATCACATGGCTGTAATTGCCACTGAAATCAATGAGAGTTTGGTTATTATTACCTAATATTTGTTTTTCAGAACTGGAGCCAGCAATTCCATGTAAAGACAATGTGTGAGAAATTTGTGAATCAAGTCCCTAAATCAATGCTATTTTAAATATTTTCAAGTTTAGCATTAAAGAAACTTTCTAAATTAAGTAATATTAATGAAACATTAATGCATTTAACCTGCATGTACTTAAGGTAAAATAAAGGGTGCAGTTTGTAGTAGTCTAAATAATCTTCATATGGGTATTACAAGTTCTTTCTAAACAAGAATCTGCTTCAGAAGTTCATGACTAAATATAAAGATTCACATTTTTTCCATTGCAGAAAATATTACTCCAATCTTAGAATTTTATTGTATGTAAAGAGTTGAACTAACGGGGAAAAGTAAAAAACTGAACACTTTACTCAATGGAGAGAAGGATACTGATTATTGGAAGAAATCAAAGAACTGGAGAATTACACATAAACAATCTCTTTGCGTTCTGAAGCAAAATAAGAAGACCAAGAAGCATAATTCTAATACATTGGACAATATGGAATGATAAAACTACATGGAAACTGTTTTCAGCATATGCAGATAAATGTATTAAGTATCTGTGGTAGTACTGGTGAAGCCCTATCTAAATATGTATATCTGTGTACACCTATATTCTTGCAAAATTATTGTTCAAAATGCAAATCTCAATGCAAATTTTATATATAGAGCTGCCATGGCGCATCCATAATACACAAAACAACAAGATACTTGTACTAGTGAGAATTATTGTAGCTATAACCTAAATAAACCCTTGCTTATGCAGGATGTATCGAGTCTGCAAGTGTTACTGCATTATAAATACTTAGTAATAAACAACTAGCTGTTATTTTATTTACCCTTAATAAATAAGAAATAGCTGAAACAACAGACCACTGCTTCACATTTAGAGAATGCAAACACCTGTTCCTTTTAAGTCAAGTCTATAAGAATAGGGGAATTCAATATGTGTATTATAGAGAGAAATGAACCCTTATTCCTCGACTGATTTAACTTGTAGGATATGGCTATAGTCAAAACACTGCTGTTGGAGATTATGCTTCATTATTAGGACAGTACTTAATTTTCAGTTTTACAATGTGTAATGTACAGACAACGTGACTACCAATTCTGCTGGTACTATATCCTTTTATTATTCGCTACATATCAAAAAGTTCTTACACCAAATCAAAAACGATGCATACAAATTTTCACCCCCCCCAAAAAAAAAGATCACATGCTTTTTGCCTCTTAAGATAGGTTTTGGGAGAACATAGCAGTACACACCTCTAATGCAAAAAGAGCCATCATCATTCCTCTCTAGCAGAAGTAGGTCAATATGTAGAGTTATAGGGACTGGTTCAGGAGCTGTGAGATTATCACGTGGGCCGTCATCCTACAGAATAAAAGTAATAAAAATAGGATTTGTTACATTGATGCTCTATCAGTGCTAGAAAATCAACATACTTAATTAAAATCTTCAATTAAACTTTTAAATAGGTTTAATAAATTTGTGAAACATTGAATTTGAAGTGAAGAGTAGAATTTTCTGATCAGCTATCTGTTCATCTTCAGCACCCTTAAATTAGCAAGACTTTCAGAAAAACAAAGTGCCAAATTCATCTGACCCACTGAAGTCAGTATATATAATTTGATTAAAATATGAAATACTTTTTTAGCCCAGGAGCTCTTCAAAGAAATAGAGATAAAATAGTATATGGCATTGCTGAACTGATTTTTCTCTTGAGCTATTTAAAGATGGTGGCAGAGTTACAGGTTTTTCTTTGGTTTAAAACTGATATGGTAATGACAATTATTATAGCAGTCACCAAAAAAGAGACATTTCACTTGCTGCTTTTGGTGTCCCAGGGTCTGACTGACTACTGCCCCTGTCAAGCATAGGAATATATTTAATGTCATCATGGGCAGATCTACAATCATGGCAAGGGATGTTTGGGTCCACCTCCTTTGGAAGCATGACATGTGCAGTGAAGAGACTTTCACTATGCATATGCCACAGAGCCAAAGCGTGTGTGTCTAAAACCCACATGCCACAATCCTGGATACCAGTCAGCTCACCAGCACATCAGTATAGCTCCTGCCAGAGTTCTGCATGTGCCATGGCTCTGGAGACCGGGGGCTGAGTATTCTTGCGGTTTGCACTCCCCTCTTCCTGGCAGCCGCATTCAGTCCCTGTTTTCATACAGCTCCAGAGACCAGGAGGCTAAGTGGTGCTGCTGCTCATCCCCTCACTTCTCTTGTTGCTGAATTTAGTGAGGGGAGGATGCGGGGAGGGAAGAGGAAAGGAAGGGCTAACAGCAGTGGTGCTCATCCCCTAGGCTTCAGAGATATATAAAAGCAGATGTTCTGGCCAGGCCTTGTGCCAATCAGCTAGTGAACTCAGAGCTCATAGCACATGCAGAGGTCCTGACAGCAGCTGTGCTAAGCTAACTGCACATGCAATGTGCAGCCAAAGAGGGGATGTGACCATGCTGCCGCACCCCCCTGGATCTACCCTAAATGTCATCAGAAGGATGATACATCAGCAATATAAGACAAACAAAAGCAAAACGTGGAGCACAGCTGCCACAGCACCTTCAAAGAGCAATGAGACTGAGTCAGGGAAAAAATTATCCAGGCAAGAAAAATAAAACTCCCAATTCCTGCATAAAACACACTAGCCCAATCCCAGTGCAAAGAAATTACTGCTCTGAATAGGTAGTGTAACATGAAGGAGAAGACTTGCCTTCCATTACCCAGCAGCCCTGGAGAAACGAATCACCTCTTTGGTAAATGAGCACTAGATTCAGACTGAATGCATTTGCAGTTCGTCGAACAATACAACTGGCTTCATGGTAACTTGCAAGTGATGCATACAGAGTGAACTCACTGCTTCCACTACCACCACACACTTATTTTCAGCTCAATAATATACATTGATCACCAACAAATAAGACATTTTGCCAAAAAGGCTTTGCCTGAACCTGCCTTCCTGCCAGGAAAGGAGAAAGGTAGAGTTTTCAAAGCTGAGTTTCAACGGTAAGAGTTTTCAAAGCTGGGTAAACATATGCTAAAGCTTTCATTTCTGTATTTGGCTGCTCAATTTGCTTTTCATCTGCAACCTTTATAAAATGTCCTCTGTCCTGTTCTGAAAGAGTGCTTAAAAGTTGCCTAGATAATGACAATGTCATAAAGGCTGCAGAGCTTGAATGCAAGAAGAACAAGGGACTGCACAGCTCTCTGCCTTGAGCAAAGACAATTCTCTGGTATAATTTAGAGTAGCAGTTTATATTTATTCACAACCTCATCGTAACTGAGACTTTAGCTTCAAATGCAAAGGCTGAGAATTCTGTTTCAGGATCCATGCTAGGGAACTGAAATCTGAGCCTTCTTGTTTTTGGATTTGGCAGCAGTGGTGTTATTATCCCTACTCACCTTGTCCTTGCAGTATTACTGCTTGCATATGAGAGAAATCATTGTCTCTTTAACTAAGAGGAACAAAAAAAAAAGCCTAGGAGACTGCACAGCAGTGTCCTCTTAATGTTGGTATTTTAAGACACACTAGTGAGAAGCTTGTATTATTCAATAACTGTTTCCAGGTAGGACAGAAAATGTAATCATGGCTCTAGGTAGTAATAAGCAAGCCGAGTCCTCATAGCCTCTTTCCTTTCAGTTAAGCTCTCATGACCAAAACTCCAAAAAAGGCTGCTAGGTTCATCATGTGAGTCTCTGTGAATACTGTTTGTAGTTAGAAAGCATGTGTTACTGGTGAACAATAAAAGACTTATTCTACCTTTGGGAGCCTACAGGACCTTTTCTCTAGTACCTTTCTAGTTCCACCAGTCTCACAATGGGGAAAGGGTAAATAAAAAAGACAAAATATAAAAAAACATTAATTCCTACAAACAATCATGGTCATGCACTTTACCTCTATATATACACTGAGCCAACCTAATTTATGATTTTTAAATTGTTTTAGTGTAATCTAAAGGTTTTAAAGAAAAAGATGGGAGTTTCTTTTAAGTAAACTATATACAGAAAGCAAAGAAACAAAAGCATAGTTTAAACAGTTGAAAGAAGAAAACTACTTAGCTAACATACTTTTAAATTAATTGTTGTATTAGAAACTCTTATTTTCATAGGCATTACGGCTGCAACAGTTTCATCTTCTAGAAAATGCTGAATGTTTGTGAGGGAAGATATTAGGAAGTCAGCACTAAAATTATCTAAGTGACACTGCAGAAAACCATTTTTTACAGCCAGCAGAGAGTGTATTCCAGCACTAGGACCAGTTTCCCATCTCAAACTGATTTCAGGTGATGATTTAATTGGTCCAGCCACAGATTTATGATCAGAACCTATTGTAAAACAAAACAAAATTAGTATTAAAATGATAAAGCACATATAAAGGCACCCTAATAAGCAACTGCAATGTGAGTTTTCCTACAGCTATTGTATCAGATGTATAAATAACAAACAAATTAGTCAATTAAGAGGTTTCTTTTTTTAAAAATGTCATACCTTGAGGGCAAAAAGAGAATTCTAATAGTGTGTATACATAATTCTACAAGAGAAATTTCTTAACACGTTTTCATTATGGTTTTCATTTATTAATCTATCATGTAAGGTAGTACAAGGAACAATTAATTCTTTACAAATCACTCGCATGAGACACCTTACAAGTGTACGGAAGAATCTTAAATTCTCTGTGCACATAAAAATTGAACTGTTTTCAATACAATACTAGTATAACACAAGAAATAAAAAACCTCAGTCTTTTGCATACCTTTTCATAGATGTACTTGACTCCGATTCAAGAAATACTGCCCTGTTTAGAACAGCATTCAAACACATGCTTAACTTTTAGGTGCTTAAGTGACCTCCTGAATAGGGATTATTTCATGAACTGGGGCCTTAATGGTAGTAATCAAAGAGAAAACTGGTATTTCAAAATCTGAATCAATTCAGCAGATGGAGTAAATGACCGGACACTGCTTCCATTACTTCAGTGGGAATAGAACCAGACAATATAATAGCATAAAGCAGTAGCTTCCGGTTACCTTCTGATATCTCTAGCCAGTGGGAGGTAATTACAACATTGAACTGATCATTTCTCTAAGATTAATGTTACAGAAAATTTTAATAAGTATCCATTTATTGTGCAAAATAATAAAAGTTATTACTATTAGACAAAGGATCTCTTAACACAGCAAAAAAAACTAGTATCAAATAGGTTAGTTAAATTAATTTGTTATATAGCAGTTAGCTGTTAAATTGATTCAAATCATTTACAAGACTTGCACTTGTAAATTTCTTAAATTCTAATATAATGTTCACAGTGGAGATACAGATTAAATGGCATACTTATTGGGCCAAACTCACACATAGTATAAATCAAAGCAGCTTAAGTTATATCAACTGAATAAGGCCAATTTATACCAACTACCTACCTTATGTATTACTTTAAATTCATAGCAGAGACTACTTTTTTTGTTTTTAATATTTATTTTGATGCTTTTTAATTGAACCCCTCTGGTTTTCTGTTTATAACCCAACAATATGTTAGGGAACGAGAAACAGATAGGTGGGTTTGAGTCATTCAAGTACAAGTAGCCAGGAACCAGATTTTGAATTATAAAAGTTTTGGGGGGTTTTTTTATTCCCATTTCTTCTTTGACGCTATTATTCTTTCCAAATATATTTTAATCTTCTTTTGATGAAAGAGTAACTTCCTATCTATATTCCATCTCATTCTACACAACAATCTCTTCCTTGTCATCAAATATGGAAAATCTGTTCAGTGCAACATATTCTGAGATACCTCTAAATATGGGAAGCTAAATTCCAGAGAGCTAGTAATCCTTATAGATTATGCATCTGATTTGCAGGCAGAGACAATGCATTTTAATTGAAATCCCAAGATACTATGGATGATCACATGCCATATTCATGAAGCACATACCAATAGAGATTCATTTATTCTGATATATGGAACAAAATTCATATTTAGGCCCATTTTAAAATATATGTTTCTACAGCAGGTGCATGTAGAGTTTGTTTGGGTTTTTTTGTTTTTTGTTTTTTACACACAAAGGTATCATTAATGTGCTCTTAATTGCCAGTGCAATGCTGTAATAAATCATCCAGAGCCACAGCATTTACATTTCAGAACCTGATATCAAGATCATAAAGCTTCTGATTGAAGCTTGTCTATCCCTATACAAGGCTGGATATCAACTTTCCTTCAGAAAGAAATTTCAGTTTTTCATAAAGTATATATAATCAGTTATACTTCCACAAATTAGTATTTAAAATAAAGAAAGGAATAATCTGCTTTTACTGAAGAAATATTCAAATTAAGGAACATTTGAGTGAAAATAATGAAATTCCAGCATTATAAGACAATCTATGGCAGGATAGCTGACGAAAAGCAAGTGAATCTGTACATCCTATGCAATTAATTTAGTTTTTCAACCCATTATCCCAATCAGTCTATTTCTATTTCTTTCCCACTCACTGTATGCCAACTGGGAAAATGGCAAGTCAAGATGGTTACGCTAAACTAATGGATAAAATGCTATTTATATATCTTTTATAGCACAGTATTATTCATCTATTTTATTTTTGAGACAAATACAGATGTTTTTACATGATTTACGTAAGTATCAGAGGGAGGACTACCATAAAGCTCCTAACAGCTCATTAATAGTAAAAAATAAATGTCTTCTGAAGTCATGAGAATAGTACTAAAATCTCTTGTTAATTCTTACCTATGGTTCTGTTGCAAAGATAATGTCGAACACTGATATTGCCCAACTGGTTTGGCATCACCTGGTTCACCTGAAGGCAGACTTGTGTGTCTTCACCTCTGATGTCAATTTCACCATTAATGTCAAACATTTTAAAAACTACAACAGACATCTATCAACAGGTACACAAAAATAAGATACAAGATATGTTTACAAATCAAGCGTTTAATAGTTATTTTTCAAATATAACCATAATATAGAAAGCTCACCTTTAAAAAGTTATAAAAGGAAATCGCTATCAATGCAATGCTACAAAAGCGTCATTTTGCAGTTGAAGTTTTTTTTATTATTATTATTAAATTTCCCCTCAGGAAAGAGATCCTCAGGCACACAAGAGTGTCTTATTCTTTTCTTTTTCCTCACAATCAGCTCTACAGCAAACTAATCAATGTTTGCTCACTGAGGCTAGGCACAGAAATTCACATAAACCAATATAATTGAAGAGAAACCAGATCAAACCTGTAAAGGAACAATGCACATAAATGACTTTCAAATGGCCAAAACCAATTTAAGATAGGCCTGGATGGATATAGTAACAATGACATAGTAACAGACTATGGGGGAGGTTCCATGGCAGGGTCCCCCACCATCCCCAGGCTCGGCCTGGCTGGGGGCTCACCACAGCCCCACCAGCCCTGCCTGTCAGGGACTGGGGATGGATGGGCAGAGGCCCTGGCCCTGCTTGAGGCTAGTTGGGGACAGGGGACTGTATCCCCCACTGTGGGTGACAGCAGGGGGTTGGGGGTGTGTGCCAGACAGTCAATTAGGGATGGCTAGGCTGGTTAGCAGGCTGGGAGGTGTGCTTTAGTGCCTCAGGCCCAAATGAAAAGTAAATGTTTGTTATGTTCGGTATTGGTTCAGTCTACGCAGCTTAGAAAAACCTACGTAGATTGAATTGATTCTGCCTCAGGCTTTTTGACTGTCTGTACGTAGCCTGAAAGACAAAAGTGACTCTCTCTCCTGCTAATCAATACCAAACCAGGACTGGCCAAAACAGTCACTAGAATACATCCTTTTATGCTCCTTCCACTACATTCTTTAAAGCACATGCCTAATTTTAAACAAATGATGTTGATCAGGTTTAATCAAGATGTTTAATCAAGACTAAAGTAAAGAATCTAACTAGACACACTGACTGGTAGTTTACTGTGCCTTCACTAGTCAGTACTTGTCCTATATTTTAATACTAGCCCACAAACTTCCAAATATCATTTTTTTCCACTCTTAAAAATCCATGTTAATTATTACTGCTACTATTATTACTATGGGGCAAATTTCCTAGGGGGGCCTCAAAGTCAGCTTCTGTAAACGAGAAACTATATGCCAAAATTGAATTTGCACATCCCAAAATGTGTAATCAAAGAGCTTCTATTACATCCAACCACAAGTTGCAATTATTAAAAATGTATCTGAATGCAGCTAATTTTTTAAAGGTGATTTTTAATACTCCACTAACTGTATTTATATGACAAATATACCTAATAGTAAGATTAAAAGGGCAATTAGCACATAACGTATTGAAATCTGTTGCCTAATTTTTAAATGTCCTTCCATACACTCAGATTATAGATTTCCACTCTGAACTATTCAAAGTGTTTACTATGCAAGAAATTCAGATCAACCAAGAAACAAGAATGTCATAAATGGAGTAGCTGAAAGAGTAGATGTAATGACTATGGAAACCTCCTAAGGCAATTTATATTGGTGGTCAAAAGAGCATCTTTTTATTTTAATTACACTGTATGATGTTACAAAGGTTGTTTAAAATATCACATTCATCATTTTGGATCTATAAGCGTGCCAATACATATATCTATGCTAACTGATTAGCAATCTATAGCTATCAACATTAAAATATAAAGATATTAACAAACAGTTACCCATTTTTTAAAACAAAAATTATGCCATCCATCACTAGAAATGATGAAAGCCACTTAACTGACATTCCCATTCATAAGGGATACGATGCATACTTTAGGCAGTAGTAGCGAATCTTCAGGAGAACTTTAAAAAAAAAAAAGATCACCTAAAAATCAGGTGTGTACTGAAGTTCACTGTTACTTTTTACTGGGGCATTCTGATGATAAATCTATGCATGTAACAAATTCATAAGAATGATCTGAAAGTCATGTTTAGAAGACATTTTAAAATGCCATTTTAATGTTTAGTTTATTAAAACCGCTCCTTTAATGAATTCCAACAGCCTTACCATTTCTTCATTAGTCTCTTGAACACTTTCTGAAGCTGCACTGATGGCATCTGGAGATGATCCACCACAGTTCTCAATCCCTGGTTCTTCTTCATGGACATTTTCTGGGGGACTTTGGTAATTCATAACTGCAATAGCTTCTGTGAGCATAACATCAGAAAAAATAAGAGTCAATATAATATAATCTGTATTGTTCACAAATTAACAAAGATAGTCCTATATATACTCAACACATTTTTTAAAATGGCTTTAAAATGTGATTTGGATTATAACATGAAGCTTTATGACTAATAAGAACTAGCATAACATGGCAGTAGTCCTTTTAGCTCTGGCCACAGAAGAGGAAAAATATCTGAATTTCCCCGAATCCTGACTCATCTATCCAGCTACTTTAAAAAGCAATATATTTTCTTTGGGTGAAATTCATTCCATCTACACAAAGACTAAATATTCAGACACACGGTGCAGGTAGTGTGTGGAACACTTGGGGCAACTGAATCTATTTTTTCAACATACAGCCATGCTGAGGACTGGCTTCTATTCCAATTGTTAAGGCAGAACACCACCTGTAACAACTCTGTGCCTGTTACAGAGAGCAATGAATGAAAACCATTTAAGTATGAATACTTATGTGGCTTCCACGCTAGTATATGTAGGCTGGGATAAAAGCCTTTCCTGCAGGGCTCCAGGGATACATCAGTCCTCTTACCTGCTACTTAATTTCTAGACATCCAATGCAGCCTTGTATCTAATATCTAAGAAATTCAAAAAGGGCCTTGTTTTAGTTTTTTGCATCACAAGTATATTTTAACTTGCAAAAAGTTGGTTAAAGTACTCCAAAAGTCATTGATCTCATTGTATTCCAAAGGTCATTGACAAATCTTTTGCCCGATGCCTTTAAAAAAAGTGGCTGCAGCTCTGCTCTTTATAGAACTACGCAGTCAAGCTATCTCGTATTTGTCACAGAAGTTTCTATTTCCTTAACAACTAGGGAACATAGACCCTTTACAACCTGCAATGAAGCATCATTTTTGAACACAGCAAAGTTAAAAAAGGTGTGTGGGGGGGAGGAAGCAATGAAAAAAATACAAAGGCTTTTTCTGGAAATGCAGCATATTCCCAGAACTCCTATATAATGAGAGGTCTGCAAGGTCAGTACCATTGTTTTTGTCTAGACAATGACATGAGCAACAACAAATAAATCATGTAAAGTAACATAGGATTTGAAAATATTTTTCTATTCAGGTAGCAGGATACAGAGGAAACCAATCTTTTAAAGTCTTGCCATTAAAGTTTGAAAAACTAACGGATAATTTAACTCCAGAGATTGTATCATCCCTGCCCCTCATAATTTCTGAACCATCATGACTACAACATCACTTTTACACTACAGATTACAAAAACTAATAACTATCCAACATAAAGTCAAATTCTTCCTAGATATTTATCAATGTTTCCCACTGAAGTTACTGGCATCTGATCGCAGAAATCAGTCAATAAGAAGTACAGAAGAAGAATGCTGTGTGAAGAGACTAGTACCCTTTGTGAAGAAACTGCTCCTATACTTGAAACTGGAAATCTTCATTCACCATTTCAGACTGAACACTGTAAGTTAGGGTACCAGTTGGCTCAGAAGTTCACAAACAGGGAGTAATTCCACTGAATTTAGTCATAAAAACAGCACAACAGTGTTTCTCTCCACCAAAACAGCCACAAAGTGGGACAACTGGCAGTTCCTTTGCAATAGTACCTTGTCTAAGCAAAAAAATATTTAGATATCAGCAGCTAGTGAAGCCAAGAGAACTGCTCAAATGCAACGAACAGAATTTAGCCTACAGGATACTTTCATGTATTGTATGCAAACATTTTGTTAAATCTATTTACCTTTCTCGAGAAAACTTTGGCTATCACTTCCATCACTCTCTAGTAAATGTTCTTCTAACATCATGCTATCAATAGAAATGGTATCCAGAGAGACCTGTGATGGACTTCTCTTCATGTTCTTATAAGAAACAGAGAATGCAGGGAGGTTGGACTGGCAGCGTTCCTTAGGCTTTCCACTTTTTAATATAAAGATATTAGGAAAATATTACTTAAAATGAAGGGAATTCTACAGAAGAAAAATCAAAATCCTCTAACCCAGGAATAAAAAAATTAAATACATAATTATAGTCAATACAAAAGAATGCTATAATTCTTAGGGGGGGAAGACAGAAATAAAAAGGTGGAACATTAATTTATATTTCTCTATAAACCATGTGTCAGTTTTTCTGTATTCAAGAATACTGAATGAATATAAAATATTTAAAACAATTTTTAAAGTTTAATTTTTATTTGTTAAATTACACTCTTACTGTGTATTTACAGGATTTATAAATACTTAACATGTTCTCTATCTTGAGATATTAACTTTTTACTTCTATTATTCCTTGATGATTGCTATGGTTGAAAAAAAAATGTGAACTCAAAGTATTAAATCTTTTATACCTTAACATGGACTGGGATGCAAATGTTTTAACCATGGCCATTGTCTCTTTATTAATTTCATATTCTTCGGACTGTGAGGTAGTTTCTGATTCTAAATCAGCTCCAGTACCACTTTCCTGGTCATTTAATTTATTAGAAAGAATATTTTTGTCGTCATCTTTATCAGTGAAAAACTCAGTAGAATCTTCTTCACTGTTTAAAACATTCACTGAATCTCTATAGTACAAGCTACTTTTGTCACCTAATGGTCCACATATTTCTTCCGAATCGCTTCTGCTGAAGAGTCCACTTTCTTCTTCATTGGTTTTCCCCAAGCATTTGTCTGAAGAATCATCCGAAAATGAAATTCTCTTGTGAAAATCTATGTCACTACTTGATTGAGAAAGAAGAGGGTCCATCAAATTTGTTCTGTTAACCTCAGTTACAAAATTAACATCAACACTACCAGTCTGGGTTGTATCAGGAGCAGTTAATTTGCTCTCTAATGCAAGAGCTTCTCCATTTTTCAACGGGGAAAGGTCTGACGCCACAGGACTTCCTTCTTCCAAAACTGGAGGCTTGCAAGGATTTGTCTGAGTTATTGGGTGCAATAAAAGAGCTATGTCTGCACTTTTAAGTAAGATCCCGATACAAACATCTGTTTGCTTTGCAGGTTTGCCTGTCACCTGTTCTACATCTTTCCTTAGGTTTTCTAGAAGCATTACAAGAGAGTCATGGAGAAACAGCAAGAAAAGATATTGATAGTGATTGATTTGCATGCTCACGTGCTTTTCAATATGAACAAGGATATGAATATCTGCATCCGAAGAACTTGCAGACAGAGCCCCTGAATTGCTTTCTGAATAACAAAGTTTTTGAATGCCATTTGTCAAGGGCTCCGTCTCACTCCTATAATATTCCTGTAAAAGTTTTTTGCGCTGTAGTCTATTAGTGAGGTCACTTGAGTCACTTTTTGGAATGTTAAAAGAGGTCTGATTATAAGAAAACAGTTCCTTTTGTGACTCTGCAAATCTTACTGGCTGACAAATCCAAAGTGAGAGTGGAAATGAGTCAACAAAGCTTATTGGTCGGCCTTTCCCACTTTTCATTCCTTCATAATCTATCCAAAACTGGGAAAAATGCACAGCCCAGACATCAGTAGCTGCAGATGTTTTTAGTGCATATTTATTCAGCTTTGGGGTGACATACCCCTTATAAACATCATGCATCTTAGTGTCTTGTTCATGAGCATGTCTCTGGAAGACTGGATGCAGAAGATTAAAATTATTGGATTTGGGAAATTTGGTGAAAGTTCTACTGAAAAATTCACAATCTTTAAAGTTTTGGAACAAGGCTTCCAGGTCAGAGTGTCTACAGTTTGGAGAGTGTCTTGTGTTTGTAGCAATCATCTCAGAACTCTGAATAGATATGGCACGTGGCTGATCTTTATGGATTTCAGGTTTCTTTTCAGATGGAATGATGAACTGCAACAGAAAAATACATTATACTAGTTAAAGGGAGTTAGGCTACAAAGCTACCCAGTTCAAAAGAAAACTGGAAAGTGATGCAAAGTAAAATAAATGAAAAATTGAAAATAAGTTTTGTAGCTTGGCAAGTATATTACTATGGAATATTACTAAGGAACCTTGTCTGCCTATATCCTTAGACCAACACGGCTACAACCTAAACCCCTGTTACTATGGAATAAGTATGTTAGACAAACTTCCAGTTGTGCAGTTTTTCCATGTGTTCCAAAAACGTTGATCAAGGATACTAGGCAAACCCCTATTCATATGAAAATTCAATACTGGTACAAAAATAACAAGGCCTTAGGCCAGGGATGGGCAAAATACAGCCTGCAGGCTGTATCGAGCCTGCCAATTGATTCTACCCAGCCTGCGGAACCAGCAGAGGCTGGAGTTGGAGCCACTGCCTGCATGTGCGCCAGACAGAATCAATTGTTGAGCCCATGGGGGATGCTGGATGGAAGCAGCCCTGCCTGCCTGCCCGGCACCACATGGCAGCCTGGGCGATGGAGTCTGACACTGCAGTGTCAGATGGGTGGGTAGGGCTACTTTTGCCCAGTGTCCCCCACTGCACCAGCAGAGCCCCTTTCCTAGCACCACACAGGAAGGGAGGCAGGCAAGGGGGGAACTGAGCCCCCATCCCTGACCCCCCTTCCCCAGCAGGTGGTGGGGGGAGGCCAAGAGGCAGGGCATTCTCTACCCCCTAGCACCACAGGGCTGTGAACGCACTGTGGCCTTACGCCCTATGGTTATAACTGGGGGAATTCAGACTGGAGGAGGCACCTTCCATTGCTTTTCAGAGAGCTCTCTCTTATGCCAGAAATTATCTTGATTATCTGCAGCCAGAAACTGTACCTTGGTTACCTGCAGTGGATCTTAGAGAAATATAGAGCATAAGACTAGAAGGGACCTCTGGGGTCACTGAGTCCAGGTCCCCTGTTGCTACAGGCTAATGAAGAATCTGAAGGAGAATACTGCATTTTATGGTTATTACCATGAGAGCAAACCAGAAAAATAATCGCTATTACAAGCCACTATTCAAACAGTACCAGGTCTTTTCCCAAAGTCGCACAAATAATGCCAGTCAGGAAAGTATCTTACTATTTCAGGGACCATCATATAATTGTAACAATTTATAAACTAAATATTGTAATATCTCTAAAAATGGCAATTATGAAGTCCAGTTCTTCTTTTGGAGCATTTCTTTGCCCTTCTTAGAGATCAAGCTAAATTTATTTGGCAACTTAATTGTATTCTGCCACCTTGTTTGTTTCTCAACCAAGTCTTCACAAACCTAAAATGCACAGAATATCAAACTGATCAAGTCTGTAATCATAAGAGTTCAGTTCTCGAGTACAGGGCTGCCCATATGGCAGTCCAAAGCCACCTCTCCCATTGCTGCATGCCGTTGGTATAGCCGGGGAGGGGAGGGGAGGAGGAGGGCGGGGCACCAGGGACAGCAGATTCCAAGGGCCTCCCCCCCCGCCCACAGTATGGCTCAAGTCACGTGGTAGCACCAGATGCAGCCCCCATAATTGGACAGCCCTGATCTATACATTCATTTTATGAGGTGTCTAAAGCTCTGCAGTGCAAGGTATGGCAAAGTGAACAGTATCTCGTTACACAAAAGAAACAATCTCTCTGTGGCTAGTAAAACTATTTTAAGTTGCACACACAAAGTCCACTATGCTAAAGAAACATCAGACCGAACAACTAAGTAGTGTCAAAGGACATACTTATTACAAGTAACATCCTCAAACAGCTACAGACATGAGATTCAAAAAATCATGGTGATTTCAGCAAATTACTACTCTGCTCCTAACTCCCTTGTAACCAGGACCATATTAGAAGAGATGGTAGTTGGTCACATGCACTCTCTACGTCCTCTCACACTTTTCTGCATTGTAGTATGCTCGGTTTTCCAGACTCCTCTTTTTTTAGTTATTTGGCTAATAACTTTTCAGAGCTAAAGAGAAAATATTTTGTTCCAAAGCACCTCCCAAACACCCCTTTCATACTGTACCTTTAACATTAGTCCATCAATTCTAACATCAACATGCTCGTCAGATTTTGAGTTGTCATTTAATTTATACATGGCCATGAACTGTGTAAGACTCTGTTTCAAATCCAACACGAACTGATTTAGCCAAAGAATGCTTCTCTCATCTAGAGTGAATTGCAGAGCATTCAGCTGGACATACAAATTTGGAGCTGGAACTAAGAAAAGAGAAAACAAAACAAAACAAAATCTATTTTCTATGAAAAATTATTAAAAACAAGCATAAGTAATATTTTTTCTCTTCTTTATGCTATTAACCAGGCAGAATAGGAGTAGGAGGTCAGAGGAAGTCCAAGTCCTATCATTCTTCCTTTCTTTTAACCCCAAAGCAATTCCCAGGTCCAATCCTGACATGCAAAAGGCTAAAATTAGAATGGAACAGATTGGGTCAGAAAGAGGAGGGAGAACAAGGGGTGGGGTGGGTAGGGAAGGAAACCTCACAACTGCAAGGAAAGGGCAGGGCAACAAGCGAGCCACTCTCAACACCATCCACAAGAATCCCACTAGGATTTCCATACATAAGATAATACTGACCTCTACCACATGTTACTAAAATACCTTGAACAGACCTTTTGTTACATTTTCATTACATTCCAGGAGTTTGACTTCTTTTGTGCAGCCAAGTAAAGCAAATATGCAACATATACTTCGTTTGAATGATCAATATTTTATTTCCTGGTGAAAACACTGTGCTGGCTTCAAATACGATGTTTATTAAAAAAGAAAAATCAATGCTTTAAATGGGTTTCTCAGAGCAAACACTGTGAAAACGGTAAAGTGTTTGTTTCATAGTCAGTTTGCTTTACAAATGATTCAGTGCAAGCTCTATTAATAATTTTGTTCGTAAACCTTGAATCAATATGCTTTTCAAATCTGAAGTTACTGTTAGGCTTCACAAAAGATGAGTATAATATGTAAGATATATCTTGCAGAAAAAAAATCTTACTAGGATAATCCTTTTCATCAGGGTAGTAATATTCGGTGAATTCAATATGAATAGCTGACATTTCTGGTGGAAGATAAAGTGACTTTTTATTGCAAGAGATTAGTGTTTTAGGGGAAGAATGACATTGGTCTGCTGTAGAGACCTGAAAAAGACAAATGAGAAATGTTATTAATATACTACTTGATTTTTATGAGTTATTCAGTATAGCAACCAGTAGTGCAACAGACTGTTCTACCTAACACAGGGGCGGGCAATTATTTTGGGCGGAGGGCTCCTTACTGAGTTTTGGCAAGCCATCGAGGGCGGCATGACAGGCAGCCAGGGGCAGATAAATATTAATTTTCTAAATTTTTTACGGGCCCCACGGGCCGGATAGAATGGCCTGGCGGGCTGCATCTGGCCCGAGGGCCACATTTTGCCCACTCCTGACCTAACAAATGGGATCTGCAATAACACTAAGCAGTGTGGCAAACCCCACTATATATCCCTAGTTGCACCTGGTATGGGCAGTGATGCATATGCAGCCACAACACCAGTGTTGGCAGTCTGAATGCACCCCATTGTTCTGGGGTATATATGTACAGCAGAAGAGGTGTGCTGCTAGTGCCACACGCCCTGTATCCACAAAAGCCAGGACACAGCAGGCACATGCAGAAGTCACCCTTATCTCCATCATCTTCCCTGTCTTTACTAGCTGCAAACATTGGAGCTGTCCGCTGTTCACACAAACAAGAACCAGAGAGCTGCACTATCAACACCATGACCCTGAATACAGACATCTTATTAAAAAAGGGGCATATCTGCAGGCTGGGCAGTCTGAAAGATTTCCACCTGTCAGGAGAAGATGACCCCAAAAGACACTCTCTCCACCTCGTTCTCTGCACTACCCTGGAACCACTGGCACTGCCAGATGGCAGGCAGGCTTTGGATTACGCAGTGTCCAGTGCAGGGCTCGTCACTAGGGATCCAAGTTTTCCATGGAAAATCACAGATTTTCCCCTTTTAACAGAGCAAATTGCAGATTTTTCCCTTTAAAGAAGAAAAACCCACCCCAGGAAACTGCAGGTTTCCCTTTGCAGGCTGTCTGAGTTCCAGCCTATAAGGGGCTGCTTGGGCTGGAGGGAGTGGGAGGAGGGAGATCAGAGGCAGGGGGCCCATGTACACATGCGTGCTCCCACATGCATGTGAGCAAAATGCAGCCAGGCAGCATGGTGGAGAACTGCAGGTAAGTCGGGGGGGGGGGGGGGGGGGGGGGGGGGGGGGGGGGGGGGGGGGGGGGGGGGGGGGGCGCGTAGAGGTGATGCATGGGGGACACAGGTAATGCATGGCAGGGTTAGGGGGAGAGTCATAAGCGATGCATCAGGGGAGCACATGCCCTCCCAGATATCTGCACTCACACTGGGCTTCAGCCTGGCCAGACTGGCACTGGGCAAGAGCTGCCTCTGCTGCCCAGTGGGTGGGACCCAGCGCAGGAGGGCAGAGCAGGTCAGTGAGGCTCAGAGCTGCTGCTGCCGCCACCACCAGAACGCCACACTTCCATGGCTCCCAAGGCAGGGTGCCCTCTGCCCCCCCAGCATCAACAGGGGGGCACAACTGCCTCTGCTCCCCTCCCCCTGCTCCCCAGTCCAGGAAGGGTGGGAGTTCCTCAAGGGACTGATCCTGCAGGCACAGAGGGGTACCATCCCTGTACACATAAAGGGAGGCAAAAGAGCCAAGATACCCTCTTGGCTAAGCAGGGAAATCCAGAGGAGCTTTCATGGGAAAAGAGAAGCTTACAGACTGTGGAAGCAGGAGGCAGCCACCAAGGAGGAGTATACCTGCTTGGCTCATGCTTGCAGGGAAGCAGTGAGAAAGGCCAAAGCAGAAACGGAACTCAGGCTGGCAACAAAGATTAAAGAAGGACTTTTTTGTTACCCTAAGTACACAGGGAGTAAGAAGACAGCGCAGGGCAACATAGGGCCACTACAGGTCTGTAACAGATAGGATGGACAAAGCTGAGCTTTTAAGTGATTTCTTTGCATCTGTGTTCCTGCACATGGATACAAACACACCTCCCAATGAGACTAGTCTGGCATAAGAGAGATACCAATCCACTAACAGTTAGCAATGATCTAGTGAAGGGGCACTTGGAGGGGTTGGATGTATTTAAGTCGGCAGGCCCCGATGATCTTCACCCAAGGGTACTAAAGGAATTGGTCGGTGTCACAGCACAACCACTGGTGCAACGGTTCGAGTGTTCGTGGCACTCAGGACAGGTCCCAGAGGACTGGAAAAGGGTCAATGTGGTCCCTATTTTCAAGAAGGGGAGGAAGGAGGAATCGGGCAATTATAGGCCGGTTAGCCTCTCCTCTACTCTTGGCAAAACCTTAGAAAAGTCATAAAAGATCACATGTGTGGGGGGCCAGCAGGTAAAACAATGTTATGGGGCAATCAGCATGGGTTTATAGCAGGCAGATCCTGCCTGACTAACCTGGTCTCTTTTTATGACCAGGTGACAAAGTGCTTAGATGCAGGAGCAGAGGTAGATGTTACTGGATTTTAAAAAGGTTCTCAACACAGCATTGCACCCAATTCTTATAAGTAAACTAAGTAGCTGTGACATGGATTTTTTCATAGTCAGGTGGGTGGAAAACTGGCTTATGGGACAAACCCAGAGAGTGGTGGCGGATGGGTCGGTTTCTACCTGGAGAGATGTGGGCAGTGGTGTCCCCCAAGGCTCTATCCTTGAACCAGTACTGTTCAATATCTTCAGTGATTTGGATAAGCGCATAGAAAGCATTCTGTCCAAATTCGCAGATGACACCAAACTATGGGGTATAGTAAACACACTAAAGGGTAGGGAGCAAATTCAGGAGGATTTGGATAGACTGGGGAAGTGGGCGGATCAGAATAGGAAGTGCTGCACCTGGGGAGAAAGAATCACCAATTCACCTATAGATTGGGAAGTACCATTTTAAGTAGCACAGCAGTGGAAAGGGATCATGGAATCATAGTCGACACAAAAATGAATAAGTCACCAATGTGATAAGGTAATAAGGCTAATTGCACTCTTTCTTGCATTAGCAGGTGCATCACGAGCAGGTCTAGGGAGGCGATACTTCTACTCTATGTGGCATTGGTGAGGCCGCATATGGAGTACTGCATCCAGTTTTGGGAATGGCACTTCAAGAAGGATGTGGATAACCTGAAAAGGGTTCAGAGGAAGGCTACATGTATGGTTGAGGGCCTGCAGGTAAGATCCTATGAAGACAGATTGAGGGACCTGAATCTCTTCATCCTCTGCAAGAGAAGGCTGAGGTGATCTTGTGGCTGTCTACAAACTCATCAGGTGGGTCAGCAGGGAATAGGGGGTACTCTGTTTACCAAAGCGCCCCTGGGGGTTACTAGAAACAATGACCATAAATTGAAGGAGAATAGATTTAGATTGGACATCAGGAAGAAATTCTTTACATTGAGGGTTTCCAAAATATGGAATGGACTTCCAAGGGAGGTGGTGCTTTCCCCTGCCCTGGAGTTGTTCAAGAGGAGATTAGACAAACACCTGGCTGGGGTTACTTGACCCCAGCGCTCTTTCCTGCCCAGAGCAGGGGATCAGACTCAATGATCTAATAGGTCCCTTCTGACCCTAGAAATCCATTAAATCCTTCTCCAGCCTCTGTTCTCCCCTCCTCCCTAGCCTTTACCCCATCCTCAGCTCTACCTCCCTCTTTCCTCCATCCTTACCCTTGCTCCATGCCAGTAGGCTCCACCCCTGCTGCCCTGCACTGTGCAGGCTGTGTACTGCAGCTCTTGGGCCAGGCTGGGACTGTGCTCAGTACCCCGGGCTGCAGCATGGACACACTGCAGAGCAAGGGGGAGGGAGGAAGAAGAGAGAGAGTTGGGGGACCAGAGGCCGCATGGGGAGGGGAGCGGGAGGGATGGCAGGGTGCAGAGATGGCAGCCAGGAACTAGCTACAGCTAGGTAGGGGCTGAAGCCCAAGCCACAGCACCTGCCTACCCCCTCCCCCCCACCTCCCTTATATGCAGTTCTAAGGCAAGGGGCAACCCCTCACTCCCCGTTAGGTGGGGAAAAAACCTTGTCTTAGAACTGAGTAAATATGGTCATTTGTCCAAAATCCCAATTATATTAGATTTCCTTAAGCATACATTACATTTTAAAAAAATGCCTGCTGGCCAAACAAAAAAATGGTTTTACTCAAGGTTTTTGTTTTTTGTTTTTGGTTTTTTACTTGTCTGCTTCCTACTCTCAAAATAGGTGAGTTTTTTTTTAATATCTAATAGATGCTGATTTGTATTGCATTTAATTTTGCATACGCATAGGTAATGATTGTGGATAGCTAACACCTATAAGCCTTTCCTCCCAATCCAGATATTTTTAAGTTACATATATTTCATGTAATGAAAGTTAAGTTACATGTATTATACATGTAATAATGTGATAACTATGTATTTATACAAACTTAAAAATACAAAATATCTACTTAAAATAAGAAGCTTTCTACCCATCCAACAAAAACAATGACAATCAGTAAGAAAATGGAGATAGAGGCAAAAAGAGTAAAGCATCTAAAATAAAGCAAAAAAAATCTAATCTCTCATCAAACAGCTACACTGTTTTACAAATAAAGATGAAGTATAGGGAAAAACCCAATTCAAACCCAAATATGGCTTCTGGCAGTAAGCAGTTATCATCACCTTAACAAGGTTACTGGAACTGGCATAGCACCAAAAGGCTGGGGGATTGGTGAGATCAGAGTGATTGGAAGATCCACTGATTGAGCACATACATAACATCTTTTCTTGGCAGGGTTCCTGTAGAACCTCAGCTGCAATTCAAAGCTCCCATTTACCAGTTGAGCCCAATACTACTGCCATTCTCTCTTTGAGGCAAATATCTCTGCTAGTACAGCACCCTGTACCCCATACCTATGAGGATGCATGTGGACTAAAGCGAGCAACTAAAGCAGCAGCAAATGATGTAGAATTTGAACATAAAATATTCAATATAAAATAATATCCATTATATAATATATTATATACTTTGTAATAATACTATATTATATTATAAAATATCCCATTAAAAATACTACTTTAAATGAAGGATTTAAATAGCATTATACTGAAATACATAAATAAATAAAATGCGTGTCTAAGACTAGAAGAAAGCAAAGACAAGACACTCAAAATGCCAAGGTAAAATAAGGATGATCCCATATGATAGAGTGAAAGAACGGGATTTGAAACTACAGCATCTGTAGGTACCATCCTATCACAGATTCACTCATCTAATCCAATAAGCCAGTGGAAAGATTTACATGGACTTTAATGGGCTTTGGATCAGGCTCTTTAAGTTATGGCTAATTAACAGTCAAGAAAAAAAAACCCTAAACCAGCAAAGGCCCCAAATTCCTCAACTAGAAAAAGTATGTACCTGGTATATATTGAAATCTGCAAGTCTAACCACAAGAGGACTAGACACCAGTTTACCCTTTGGTTGCTGGGGAGATACAGAAGTCCTAGAAGTTCCTTTAGGCATCTGTTCTTTGCCTGGAAGAAACAAGAGTGACAGTGATCTAAAATTATAGTCCAATTGTGGATATAATTAATATTCACAGAAGACAGCAGAGTAAAGAAAAATGCATGAATGGCAATAAAGTACCTGCTTGTATATTTTGAGGAGAGGTGTGAGGTGGAGATTTAGTAGGAGAATCTATGTTATGATCCTTCACGGCCTGTTTAAGTAATTCAACGTTGCTTTCAAACTCACGTAATAATTCTTGGGCCCATCCACTTCTGGTTTTGGTGGCATCATTATAATGCATCCAGTGACTACAATTGTCTCCTGAAAATAAAAGAAACATGGCCCAAACCTAGCATACAGTTTCCATTTGAAGTTCTGTTTAACTAAAAACAGCTGCATGAATCTGTAGATTTTCTTCAAAATTTAAATCTCACTACCTCTAATAATCTAGTAATGTACACTTCATATAGTAATACAAATTACAAACTCACTATGTCATTCAGCATTGTTGCCTGTTGCCCATTGACCCAAATAGTTAGCTAACATTCAGGAAATAAAAAACAGTGTGAACAACACATTTTGAAAAACCACATTTACTATAAACCATGCAACTGTTCTTTGAGTGATGCAAGTGATATCCATAAAAATTCTATTTGTGGTTACAAACAAGCCGTTATCTTGATATTAAGTGACAGGCCAGCAAAGAATAACTATGCCTTCTCTCTTCCTTTCCCACTAAAAAGCACCTGGACTTAATACAATACTTTCTTCAAGGAATAATGAATACAGAAGTGTGGATGAAATATCACGTTCCTGCTCTACAGATTTCTGAGATGACAACACAAGCAAAGCAGGGCAAAGAGGCCACCTAAGCTCCAGTGGAATGAGTTCTATTCAGCTGGATTTTCTTGTCACAAAACACAGCAAATACCAAGCAGAAACAAATGTATTTAGACAGTCTTTGCAAAAACTGGATTTGCAAGCACTTTAGAGGACAGAATTGGTTTTCAAAATGACCTTGATGAATTGAAAAAATAAATAGGGTGAAATGTAATAAAGAAAAGTGCAAAGTACTACACTCACGAAAGAATAATTAAATGCATAAATACAAAAAGGGAAAATGACTAGGTAGGCTGCAGTACTGCAGAAAAATATCTAGACATTAGAGATAACAGGAGGAATAAATCAAGGTAATATTGTTGAAAAGGGATAATGGTATACTGGGATGTATTAACAGATGTGTTGTATGCAAGTCATGGGGAATGATTTCCCTGCTCTGTTCTTCTTGATTACTATACTGTGTCCACACCTCAATAAAGAGATGAGACAAACTGAAGAAAGTACAGAGAACAGCAATAAAAATGACAGAGATCTAGAAAGTATGTCATATGAGGAAAGGCTGGAACAAAAGGGATTGCCAATCTAGAGAAGACTAAGACGACGGGGACAGGGGGTTGGACCAGATAACTCTTGAGGTCCCTTCCAACTCTATGATTAGATAACAGCATTTTAAAAATGTTGGTCATTGAGTCCGACCCCCTGCCCTGGGCAGGAAAGAGTAGTCTCCTCTTGAAGATCCCCAAGGCAGGGGAGAGCACCACCTCCCTTAGAAGCCCATTCCAGATTCTGGCAACCCTTACTGTGAAGAAGTTCTTTCTAATGTCCAACCTAAATCTGCTCTCCGTCAATTTGTGACCATTGTTCCTAGTTACTCCAGGGGGTGCCCTAGTAAATAGAGCATCTCCTATTCCCTGCTGCCCTCCCCTGATGAATTTATAGGCAGCCACAAGATCACCTCTCAGCCTTCTCTTGCTAAGGCTGAAGAGAGTTAGGTCCCTTAGTTTCTCCTAACAGGGACTTGCCTGCAGGCCTCTGACCATACAAGTAGCCCTCCTCTGAACCCTCTCAAGATTCTTCGCATTTCTCTTGAAGTGCGGCACCCAAAACTGGACGCAGTACTCTAATTGCAGCCTGACCAATGCCACATAGAAGGGAAGAAGATATATAGACATATATCTGTATCTAGCGCAACAATTTTTTACTGATGCAGAGGAGGCTGAAGTATTTAATGCCTTTTTTACTTTCATCTTCACAAATAGGGGAAGTAGGTATCAGACAACAAGCCTAGTTGGCTGCAAAGACAGGGAAGGAAAAAACCAGCCTAGAATAATGGTAGACCAGATTAGGAATTACTTAGAAAAGCTAGATGCTGTAAGTTGGATTCATAACTGGTTGGATGATGGTTTTTAGCAAGTCGGCACCAATGGCTATGTCAAAATTGGGAGGAGGTATCAAGTTGGGTTCCTTAGGTGTCCATCCTGGGTCTCATATTGTTTAAAATCTTTATTAATAATTTGGATGGTGGGACTGAGTACGCACTTAGCAAATCTGCACACGACACCAAGTTGAGTGGAGTTGCAAACATTTCAGAGGGTACAACTAGATCTAGTATGACCTGGACCAACTGGAAAAATGGTCCACAATCAATCAGATGAAGTTTAACTAGGACTGATGCAAAGTCCTGGACTTTGGACAAAACAATTGCATGCACAAATACAGATTGGGGAATGACTGGCTAGGCTGCAGTACTGCAAAAAAGGACCTGGGGTTTACAGTGGATTATAAAATGAATAGGTTGTTGAAGAAATTGTAGCTGTAAGGGCAAGGACCTGTAGCAACAACCTCAAAATGCAGCAGAAGACACTTAGTTTGAAGATTAGGAAGAACTTTCTGACTATAAGGCTGGTCAAGTATTGGAACAGTTACCTAGAAAAGCAGAGAATCTACATCCCTGCAAATTTTCAAGATGAGGCTGGAGGACAGACACTTGGCTTGGATGCTTTAGTCAGGGATGATCTTGCCTTGAGCAGGGGGCTGGACTAAATGACCTTATGAGGTGTCTTCTAGCCCTACTTTCTTATGTGTATGTATGGGGGATTTGCCGCAAAGGCCTGAATTTTACCCATCTTTCTACCTAATTTAACAGTCACAGAAATAGCTGTCTTCAACGACCAATGGTAAGGACAGCAGGTGATCAGTTGCTCAGCATGAGCACTCATCATTTTTGTCAACATCTAACTGAAGGCCCAGGAAACAAGAGATCCTAAATGGTAGGAAGATGTGTGCATATCTTTTTAGGAATTTCATCAGGATTTGGAGCTAAGAGACAGCAAGACTTTGTACAGCAAGACAATAAAGTAAATATTGCCATGTGCATTTGGATAAAATTGAGGAACAAGCCAAATTGCTTTAAAAGGAATCAAGCAGTTTAATACAGCAGCCTTGGTCCTGGCTATCAGAGAAAGCAGTCACTACATTTGGCCTTAGACATCAACCCAGTTGAGGATTTTCTTTCATGCAGAAAGATGTTCACAGCAAAAAACAGCTGTCCATGGCAGAACTGTCCATTTCAGGAGAGGTCATTCAACCAGCATCCAGGCAGGCATATATATGCAGGAATATCAGCTACTGTTATACTTTTGTAGATCTGGTAGGACCAGTGAAATCACAGGTTCACAATGTCCAAGAACCAAAATCATCTGGCATATGCTAGTAACCTTTTCTCAAGGCCCTGTGTATCGTGGATATAGATGGAAAGGCATACTATCAGAGCATAAAGGATTAGAAAGGTGTCTGATATGGAGCCTGGCACTGGTCTTTCTTGAAGAACATCTGACATTTGTCTATAGATCTATTTATAATGTTTCATAACAATGAGTCGTGCCTGTAGAAAGTACCAGGAAGAATTTAGTTCCTGAAGAGCTACTTGTGGTTCCTTGACATGTCTCCTTCAAGGTAGTCCAAAGTACTCTGCAGGCTAAAGAGGTGAAACATTATTGACTAGCATGCTGATGGATGCACCACATGTACTTTCTGGTAGGGTAGCTGTTCTTAATATGCTTGTTGATACAGAATTTCCCTGGTGTTGTCCCCAAGCATTCAGTAATGCTTCAGACCTGTCAACAGGAAAAATGCTTTGCACACCAGTATGACAGCTTTGAATTCATGACTACAAAAGGCCTGGCTTCCTTAAGGGACCATTTTCCTTAAACTTTCAGCTACACCCTGAATGAAGGCTCCTGTAATTCAAGTCATAGTCTGCATAAGATTACCAAAAAATTTACTCTGCTACACACTTAGGTTGAATCCATCTGCCAATCTAATGAAGGCAGGAATTCCCACGGAACTATGACCTCCTGAACCATGCTGGGTTTGTCTGCAGAAACCCTGACATTCACCTTTGTAAAGGCTGCAAACGATATCTGGTATGCTGTGCAACATGCTAACATGTTACTCAGGAGCTTTACACACATCTCCACTGGTCTCCTAGTATTAGTCTGTAATTGACTAATAGCCTTGCATAGACTGATATTTCACTAGGGAAGTAGGTATACTGGACAAACTGGAATCTAACACTATCCAGATGAATCCTATTGCTTTGAATCAGAATCAGTGTGTGTTGGTCACTGCTGATCTTGAACCAAAGTGCACTAAGAAGTTGTTGCCAAGTAAACTTTATCACCTACTGGGAGGTGATGATTTTCCGTGCACCAGTCCCTTGCACCCTTACTGCCCAAGAAGAGGACTTTATGGATTTCTTGCCTTCTTATCTATGCAGTCACCACAGCTAACTTTGATGACTATTCAAAGGTAGTGGACAGGGTGAAAATACAAGACTGTATTGATGGGAGCATATCTACCAAGACATTTCAGTGTTTGTTATTGATCTGGATCCTTGGTACTCAAGAATCACAAACAAATCCACAGGATCCAGTGAGGAAATGTTACAGGAAAGGGCCACCATCTGGAATTTGACAACAGACAAGGAAAATGATGATGATCTTCCAATCCCCTCTCTTTTTTCAGTTAAGTAGCAGTGGAACTAAACCCTTCATCCTGATAGCAGGAGGCACTTTCTCCACAGCTTCTAGTTGAACAAAGGATTCACTAAGTGCTTCAACAGCTTCTCAGGATATGTTTCCCAGAAGAGACCCAGGAATCAGAAGGCCCTGAAACTGGGACAAGATACCCCTTGTAAATGATCCTGATAACTCACTGAGCAGAGCTCATCCCAAGACCAAGTACTCAAGAAATGAAACAGGCAGTTGTCATGGAGAACGGAAGCTGGGAGAAGGATGCAAATACTTGACCTACCTATTGAAACTGATTTTCACCTGAAGCCCTAGGTTGTATGGCAGCGAAAGATAAAGAAAAGAGTTGCTCTCCTTGAAATTCTTCTTCCAGCATTGAGGACCACTACAGAAGGTAATATTGCAACTGCAGCCCTTGTCTGTAGTACTCTCAGGAATTTTTGGTTTGAGGCCAAGATATTCAGCCCCAAAAGACCTTGGCTTGGGAGTCACAAGAAATTCTGATAGAACCCTCTCATAGGCACAGCCATCAACTTGGCCACTACATCAGAAACCTTAAATGCCACTTAAGCACTGTTCAAGTCTCAAACTGGCCCTCTGAAGTGACACATTCAGTTCTGCTAAAAGCTCTTTCAGGATTTTATCAATGAAGTTGAACCTTTAGTTCTACTATGAAAACTAATGGATGATGGATTGACTAGCTCATTCCGGGAAAATGATGATGTCCTTTCAGAGAATGATCACCCTTAATTTGTTCTCTCTCTTCCTCCACATGGTTGTATTAGTAAGGAGGTTAGGTTGCATTTGTCTCTTCTGTAAGGAGTACCTGGCTCTGGAGAACACAGTGGGGATATTGCCTGAAATAAGCATTCACTCCCTATTGGGAGGGGACTAGTATAAACATGGTTTATACGGATTAGACAGGAAGGCATATTGCTGGAGATCTGATGGAATGCACTCCCTGTGACACCCATCTCCCCACACCTCAGGATTTTTCCCCTTGGCTCTAATAAGTTCCCATGGTAGCAGAAGAGGCTGTGGCATATGCCTCCAACAAATGAAGAGAAAGATTAATGCACCCTTTAATGTCTTATGAATCAGTACTGAGAAACTTTTGTGATGACCTCTTGCAGCTTCTCATAAGAGGCGAGTAATACTGGTGTCACAGAAAATCACATATAACAACAATAGCAAACATGCATGGCTGCCTGCCTCTGGAACTGAACGCTATTTACAAACTGAAGCAGCACTTTGTGCCACAGCATCTAGTGCTGGTACAGATGATAAAGAAGCACAGGAGCAGTATTCTCCATGTCAGAGATGCAGTCTCCCAACAGTTATCACAGCAATGAGATCCATGTATCTAGACAAGATCACTTATGTTGGCTTGCATTTTGTACTTACACAGTGGAATGAGACTACTTTAAGTGTGGAAAAGGACTGCACCTTTGTAAAGGCTGTCCATGTTCTCTGAAGAGTGGTGGTTTTTGCATCCTTTAATTGGTAGCATCAGCAGTGTGGTCAATTAAAAGTTTACATGAGACTTTTGTTGGGGCACTGCCTGGAAGACATGGGTCCAGTACCTAAAGCTTCTGTGAGCATCTATCTGGATCAGATACTGCTTGCCTCGATCTTTCAGAGAGAAAGATCTTTATCTTCTAGACCTTCCTTGTCTTACAAGTTCTCTTGAACTTGTAAGCAAAAACAGAGTGGGACTAGGGATCTTACCCAGGTACAGCAGACACTGGAAGTGACCCTAACTGTTAGATATAGCTTGTTGCAGGATTGTCAGATCTTGAAAGCCAATATCAGAGTCAACCATTAGATTTTGGATAGGTACTTCCTGTACCAAGTCAACTTCTATATACACAAGACTAATATTGTTCTTAATTAAACTAAATCAGGACACTGTGCAGGATATAGCCAGCCTTTCCTATACCCTTGGTTATAAGGAGCAGGAGAACACTCAGGCAAAAGCAAAGCTCCAACACTTATTCAAAAGAAACCAATCTGTGTGGATGTTCAAAGACCAAGAACATTTCTTTCTTTGGTAAGAAATTCTATTACCATACTTACTCAAATGCAAAACAAAGTTCTCCTGCCTGAGCATGGGGAAAAAAGTCCCCTCATCTTAGTCACATACAATGAAAGCTCATTAAACCTATTGTCTATCATTAAACTGCAGCAATGGAAACCAACTATGAAGTTGATTAAATGCAGCCAACACTGAGTGGCATGACTATAAAACACGTGGCTCACGTTGGGCAAACAAGCTGATAGGAACCTTTTCTCTGTTTGTGTGTGGCCCTTAAAAAAAAAAAAAAAAAAAAAAAGGGCAATTTTTTATTTATTTATTTTTTTTAAGGAAAATTTGTCCCCGGTGAAATTAGCCAAAATAGTTCCAAATCTTTTGAATTGTTCAAGAACCATATGTGGCCCTACTACTAGCAAGTATCCTCCACCTCAAACTTTTCAGCCTGGGGCTTCAGATATTTCCAAATCTTTTGGCAGGCATCATATGTGCAGACCCAAGGCCAGAGGCTTGGGGTTCAGATGCTTCCGAGTTTCTCTTGCCCTCAGCCATACAGCTGCAGGAGCAAGCTAGGGAGGAATCTCCCATTTCCATAAAGTCAGTGTGTAGCTGAGATCCTCCCACTGGAAACTGGCCAAAGCTAGCTATGAGGCTCTCATAGGGAGCCCTGTCCACAACCAAACAAGGGTGCACCCTCCACTACACAAAAAAAAGGGCTATTTTTTTTTTTTTTAAGTGAAATTTTTGGAGTTCCAAGTCAGATCGGCCAAATCAATTCCAAATCTGTGAGTCACTGAAGAACCATATCTGGCCCTACTACTGGCAAACATCCTCCACCCCCATCTGGGGCTTCAGATGTTTCCAAAACCTTTGGTGGGAATCCTATTAGCAGGCCCAAGCACGAAGGCTTGAGGTTCAGATGCCCCCGAATTTCACTTGCCCTCGGCCCTACAGCCACAGAAGCAAGCTAGGGAGGAGTCTCCCATTTCCATAAAGTGGTCGTAAATCCAAGATCTTCCCACAGGAAATGAACATGGGCGGGTAACTATACATTACCTCAGCAGTTACCACCTCCATGCTGGTTATCCCCTGTCCCTGGGAAAAACCACCATGGTGATCATGGTATTTCCCCTGCCAGTATTTTTTTTTTTAATTAAATTTTCTATATTCCAACCCAAATTAGCCAAAACAAATTCCAAATCCAAGAGTCAGTCCAGAACCATAAGTGGCCCTACTACTGGCAAACATCCTCCACTCCCCTCTGGGGCTTCAGACATTTCCAAAACCTTTGGTGGGAATCCTGTTTGCAGGCCCAAGCCCAGAGGCTTGGGGGTCAGATGCCCCAGAGTTTTACTTGCCTCTGGGGCCTTACAGCTGAGGGCAAGCCAGGAAAGAGTCTCCCCATTTCCATAAAGTAGGCTTAAAGGCAAGACCTTCCCACTCCAGCAACTAAGTGTGAGGTTTACTATTCATTATCTCAGCGGTCTATTATTCATCCCCTTGGCAGGTATTATTCCTGGTGCCAGGAGAGCAGCCTTCCCCCATGCAGCTAAGACCACCACAGTGTTTCCCTTGCCAGGTAAGCATAGACTATGCTTGGTCTGAGCTGACAGAAGCTGATGTAAAGCTAGATATATACAGCCTGTCTGAATAAGACATATGGTAGTGCCCATTAAGTGCAGTTCCCCTTACCACCTTCTTAAACATTACGGTGAGCTATGACATTGCATACAGTTCACTCAGAATCCCTCTGTTGACCTTTCTCTTACCCTGGCACATATGATTAGCATGGCCCCACCCTCCATGAAGTGAAACCAGACCAGGTTGTCCTGTGCCTCATCTGCATATATATTTTTGGAGCATCCCAGGACTTGCAACAAGAACACCTGGTTCCAGTCACAAGTGTGCACATGGATCCTTTGAGGAGAGGGAGTGGGGAGGGGAGGGTATCTGGAGTGTACACACATACTGAGCAGGGCTGAGCTGTGGGTCACCATGGCCTGAAAAGCTGTTAACTCTACTGCAACCCAGCTCAATGAACTACATGGTAAATTACAGCCTTTGGCTTTAAGTCAGTATTATGTATAGTTTGTACTACATATAAGTAGGTGTCACAGTACTGCTCAAAAGTGTGTTTATAGGAGCACCTGTACTAAAAAATGCAGGAATTTCACAAAAAGAGTACATGCATTGATTCTGGATAAACTAAGTGCATGGGTGCTATATGCAAATTGCTATGGCTATGTTTAATTTCAAGGTGATTGTTTTTAAATTTGCTCCTGACTTCTATGTGCTCAGCAAGAACAGGATCTGATAGTAAGGAAAGGGAGAAGGAGCTGCCAGGGGACAAAGTTGTGGGGGGAAGCAAGATGCAAAGTTGCTGCCTGACCCCCCCAGATTTATTTTCCCTGCTGTAGCAGTAGAAGGGGGACATATTCAAGGTAAACCTCCAATAAATAGATTCTGTTCTATATGTGGAAAATGATAACAAATTTATTCTATTTCTATATATAGAATCTAATTATTGGGGGGGGTTTATGATCATGGTCATCTTTTGTTCAAGTAAACACAGTATATTATGTTGCATCTAATTTGAAACTCGAGCGCTGTAACATTTTGCCAAATTTTAGCAACTATTATCAAAAACAAAGATTATTTGGGTGGGGGAGTGTCTTCCTGAAAGATATAACTAGAAGCAATCTGCAAGAAAGCATAGAATTTACTAACAGCAACTTAAATTTAATTCCCTCCTTAATATGAAGGAATAATAATACATAATACGATATTAATACAAAATAATATTAGCGCCCCATTTGATTAAGATGTGAAATCAATAAAAATTTGACAGTTTCTAGACTAGCAGATGGAAATTTGAGGAAGGGTACAGTAAGTTAATAAACTAAAATCCTGCATGATAAATGGATTAGAGTATTTCATAACAATTACTGACATGTCAAAACCTGTTTACACTTTTTTTGATGATTTAGCAGAAAGTAATTCAGTTAAGCTTTAAAATAGCTAGTTTAGAGAAAGCAGTTGAATTCTATGTAGGTTGAATTCTAAGCGTTTCATCTTCAGTCAAAAACACTTATTTATGGACACTGTAGTTAAATACTGGTATATATAAATATTATGGCCCAAGCCTTTTGCATCTAAAATTAAATGTATTAATATATTTTTAAACAAATCTCATACCTGCTTTGTGAAAAGGATAGTAGTCCACAGTTAACTGACTAAAGGAAAGCTGCATCGCACCTCCAGTAATACGCCTGTTTGAGGCTGTAAAAGAAGGCAATATTTAGCAGTTGAAAAACCACTGCCACAGATTAAATGACTCAAGTTAATTAATTTCATGAATTCTTAAGAAATTCCCTCTGTCCAGCATCTCTCCTCATAATCTTGCAATCATCTGCTGAAGATCTCTTCAAATTCTGAAAAACAGTAGTGGTCTCTGCAGATCAGCCTGACAACTGCAGACCTACACTGCAATACCACTGGGATGTACAAACTGCATGCTAGTGGTGCACTGATAAAGATATTTTTGGCCAATACCAATGGTCAATTATTAACCAGCCACATCTGCTAATACCCATCCAATAGCCGATATGCAGCCTGGCAGCTTGGACAGCAGTGTCCAGTCAGTAAGTGTGTGGCAGAGAAGGGGCGTTGGGGGACGGTAGGGACAGATCAAGGTCCCCACTGTGAGTAAGAGAGAGTGGGGCTGGGGTAGGACGCAGGACGGAGCCATGAGCTGCTTTTCTGGGGGGGGTGCGGGTGAGTGGAGAAAGGGGTGGCTCCCACCACTGCCAGTGCCTCCAGAGGAGGCACTGGGGGCATGTGCCCCTTAAATCTGTGCACAGGTAGAGGGCAGGCTGCCCACTGCAGGCTCAGGGCTGGGGGCTGTGCCGGACTCTTCACAATGGGTAGAGGCCCAGCTCCCCTACTAGGAAGGGGCACTAAGCCCACAGTGGGGAACCCGCTCTCACCCCATGCACAAATCCTGGGGGCACATCCCCCCCTGGAATGTGTGCAGCAGTGAGGAGCTGCACCCTCTCTCCACCCCCATGCCCACTGGATGAGACACCCACAGCTCTACCCTGCGCCCTGCCCTAAGTGTCTGCCTCTGCTCCAGCCCCACTCCCTCCCTCACCATTGGGGCCTCTATCTCTGCCCCCCCAACACCCTTTCCCCCAGCATAGCCTTACCGGCCAGACACTACTCTCCAAGCTGCTGGGCTGCATTGCCGGCTGCCCGCATGCATGCAGCATTTACCAGTGACATTATCAGCTACACTGGCCAAAAAAAGCTGCTTGCTGATAGTGTCAATTTTCCTTTTAATCAGTACTGATACGATACAGACTGATATATCAGTGCACCTCTACTGAATGCTAATATTTATTGCAACTGAAAAGCTAACTACTCGCATTAGCCTACATCAACCTCCACCTTTACATGGACAAACAACATCCTGGGCTACATACACAGATTTTAGATCCTTCTCCATCCCAGGAAGGCACAGAACTTCATGCAAAATTTAAAAAAAAACCCACCCCAAAAACCCCTATACAACTAGGAGCAGTAGAAAAGGGCTCTCCCACCTTTTAGCCAAATAGCTTAGTGCTTAAGGAACTTGCCCATGGACTGGAAGGCCCAGGAACAGGGCCCCTATCACCCAGAAGGGTTTTATATATCTCCTACATCCCAGCAAAGTGTTCTAGCTACTAAGCCACAGACTAGATCAGGGGTCAACAACATTTTTGGGCAGAATGCCAAAGACATGCAACCTTTACTTGTAAAATGTTGGCATGCCAAGGGAGGACAACAAGGGAGGTGCCAGGGGCCTGGTCCTTGTTGCGGCAGTGCAACACTGGCCCCTTCCTCACCGTCTGCTCGGAGGCATGTGTGCACCCACCACCATCAACAAGCTGGGCCAGGGCTCTGCAGACCCTGATGCAACCACTTGTAGCCTCTTGGCTGCCTGCCACAGCCAGCCCAAGTTCTGGGCAGCCCCCTGCTGCCCACCACCAAGCCTAGGCTCCTTGCAGTAGAGGCTGAAAGTAGCTGCACCAGGGTCTGTGAAGCCTTGGCCCAGCTTGTTACTGGAGGCAGGTGCAGTGCACACATGCCTCGAGGCACACGGTAGGGAAGAGGCCAGGGCTATGCTGCCACAACAAGGATAAGGTCCTTTACAGCTCCCATGTCATCTGCCCTGAGGTGCATGTGCCAAGCAAAATGCCTTCACATCCCACGTTCTGGCAAGTGTGCCAAGAGTTGCCTATGCCTGGACTAGGTATTGCCAAGAGCGCTTTCCACTCCTATTGTAGATTAGCTGACTTACTAAGCAGCAAAACAGAGATAAGTGTGTAGGGCCAGAAAAAGCAAGCCAAAAGGGGTGAGAGCTCAGTTAGATGGGCACTACTTTACAGTGGAAAGGGACCTGGGTTCTATCCAAGTACTGTCTGTCTATTTTATGCACTATGAGCAAAATGCAGGAAAGCTGGTGTGGGCCAAAACCTAGACATTGTCCCTTCCAGAGCAGTGCATATAGCTCACTGAGCTGTATCCTTCTTGACTCCACGTACCTCCTCTTGGCTGCCCAATGAGCCAGTTTCAACAGGAGGGTGAAATGTGCTCTTGGCAACGGCTAGTCCATTAATAAGTAGGACACTTTGCTGGGAAATGCAAGGTTCAAAGCTCTTCTGAGTGAGGGGAGCATGGGGCCCTAGAAACTGATCTCTCATTCCCTGGGCAAGAGTCCCAAACACTAGACTAACTGATTAGATGGTGGAAAAGACCCTCCTCCTCTCTCCCTCCCACTGCAAATTGTGTTTTTCCTCAGTGACTAACAGGAGTTAAACAGAGTTTATGGACCCTGCTAGAGGAGCAGGATCTCTACTGAGTCTGTGCAACAGAAGCAGCTCTCTTCCAAGGACAGGGTGAGTTGCGCAGGAGGATCAGGATATTAAACCTGCATAAGTATCCCAAAATGCTACTTAGGGGTGCGCACACACATACTAACTTTGTAACAGTTAAGGCAACTTAACTTTTTTAAACTGTCAGAACATACATACCTATGTGGAGCAGAGTCAACATAAATGCAGCACAAGTGAATACACCTTTGAAGTGTATTATCTTGAGTCACACTAGTTAAGTTGATGTGGCTCACAAGACGTCTGCCACTATTTCAATGAGCTATGTGTGTGTACACTCTGATGTGGCTTAAGTCACCTTAGTACATGTGTACACACCCTACATGGCTAAAGTTAGTCATATCAATGATACTTACTTGCCTAAAGTTCTGAAATTGTGAGCATAATTATTCATATCCAAGATACTCCTACACTACCATCATTTCTCTGAAGTGGAACTATTATGTTATTTGGAAGGTATGCCCGAGTCATTCAAAATTAATAGGCCAAGTTGTCAGCATAACGCAAGCAAAAAATGATTCCTTACTTCATTTACCAGACACTACTTCAGCCAAGGAAGATTTTCCAAAACATCTCTGTTCTTTCTTCACTGCACTGAATCACCACAGTCAATAATATTGGATCAAAAACGATAAAAAAGATGCCACTAAGAACTTTAAAAAAATGAATACTGGACTAAATGACTGAGAGGAGATGGCGTAGCCAATACACTTAGATGGTAAATGTGTTGCTACAGGTTGCCCTATCTCCCCTACTCAGGGAAAACCTGACTTTATACTTACTGGACATTGAGACTAATAAAAGAAATTAAAGAAGCCTGCTATACATACAAGGAATAGCCAAATTACCCTTCAAATATACACGGGTATGTCATACATGGTCAACTTAGGCGGTATGAAAATAATTATTTGTCATTATTTCTAATTAAGGCAGGCACTTCATCTGCCTCTTTGTTTAAACCATAGGAAAATTAGGAAAATTACTCTTCCTCAGAAACCTTCTTCAGGATACAGATTTTGTGCTATTTCCTGAAATCTTTAGGTCAATGATGAAAACAGAACTGCACCTCTTTTCTATCTTTCTAAATTATTCACATTCTATACAGAATGCCATAAAATGTGTAGAACTGAAGAAACCCAAGCCAGAGAAACAGTGTAATGTTGCCACCACATATATAATAACCCAATTAGCTCTTCAATAAAGGAAAATACTGGTGAGGGGAAGGAAGAAAAGCAGTTCAGAGAACATAGAAAGAAAAGTATTGCAATGACTACTTGCAGTTTTTAATTACATAATGAATGCTACATATAAAACTTATTCTAAAGCAAATAAAAGCCAAGTTATTAAACTTTAATTGTTGTTAGGTAACTCTGGATAAATCCAATGATACAGGGACATAATGCACTTGTGAGAAAGACAGACAACACCAATACTAATGAGTATTATTAAAACTTTTCCTAGAATAATTTTTGGGATACAGAAATATGATTTAAGAAAAGTGTTGTTACCTCTTTCTTTGGATTGAATATCATCACATATATGCAGGTCCAAATGGGAAATTACTAAATGATGCGAAGTTTCCTTAACATCAAAATCATTGAACAATTTTACAATTGCATCATTCTGATCAGGTGTTGCTGACGTCTGGTGTGCTTTCACTTGCTGAGAGCTGGGTGCAGGGGCAGAACTCTGAAAAAAGATTTAGATAGATAATGTCAATTGACATTTATCCTTAGCACTCCTTTAGTTCCAAGCATGAGCTACAAACATTTAGAACTGAAGCATACGAACAATTCTAGAGTGAAATTTTCAAAAAACACTGAACGACAGTTTAGGGAAATTACTACACATTTGTCTCTGAAAATCTTCCCTCTACTTACTTAAAACAGGACTCTTATGCAAGGAGAAAGCTTCCAAATGCATTACGTAAATATACATGTATTCGCCTTGCATAATTAATAAGGTAAATAAGTCAGTGATATATTGCTGCAGCAAAGGACTAAAATCTCTGTTACAATGCACTGGCTGTGTTGCAATAGCAGCAACACAAGTACAGTCAATACCCATTTGTTGCAACACCTGATAAGAGCAACAGCTGCTTTCCAGCAACACTTTCCCTTGGAACCTTTTTCTTTACCATGCAATTCAGACACTCCCTATAAATAGCAAAAGATGTTTAGAAGCAACAAAGCACCAAGGAACTAACATACTGTTATTAAGTAGCATTGGCTATACCAAGTTTGTCATGGTTTTTTTTCTTACCATGACCATCCTTTATCTGCATTACCTGTGCTTGGCAGCCTGATCGGCTTAGGGGCCTATAGACTTAGGGTGCCTATACATGAGCAGACTCGATTAACTGAGTCTGCTGGAGCATGGTAATTACTGAGCTCCAGCAGCCTTCAGCATCTTGTGTATCAGCGTCCCCGTGGCAGGGACACTTTAACTAAATGGAGGCAGGGGTGTTTTAACTAAAGCTCATTCAACAAGCTTTAGTAAAAGCACCTCTGCTGCCATGTTGAAGTGCAGGAACACTGATACACAAGGTGCTCTGGGCACTTTAAATGAGAACAGTTCTTGGAGCAGCTCTAATTAAAGTGCCACCCCCTCCAAGTTCCCGAAGCACATGTATAATCACCCTTAGAGTCTCATTTTTTAATCCACCTTCTGCCTACCACATTGTTCTCTATTTTATCAGGGATCCTGACTCAGTAAGCTAGGCTCCTGCACTTCTGCTGTATGATATTGGGAAATAAGATAATAATTTATACAGATGGTAAAGGGAGCGTGCCCTAACCACAACTGATAGAGGTCTATGCAGTATGGCTCAGTGCAAACCTGCAAAGTAGATATGCCAGCATACAGATACAATGACTATTATTTTTCAAGGAATAGCTCTGCTACTGCAATTTCAAGCTACATTAGGGGTGCTGGAGAAGCACAGAATCACAAAAATTAAGGGCTGGAAGGAACCTCAAAAGGTCACAGAGTCCAAACCCCCTATTTTGGGCAGGAATACTGCTGAGATCAAATGATTCCCAGCAAGGTATCTGTTCAGTCTCCTCTTGAAGACTTCCAAGTTGGGGACTGCACCACCTCCTTGGGAAGTCTATTCCAGATCCTAGTCACCCTTACTGTAAAGGAGTTCTTTCTTACATCCAAACTGAAACCATCCTCTAACAGGGGTTGGCAACCCCCGGAACGCATGCCAAGCATGGTACGCGACGCCATTTTGCTTGGCATGCCACTGCCAGCCTCCCTGCCCCAGCCCCCATGGGTACAGTGCTGGCACCTGCTGCCTTCCCAGAGCCTGGGGCTGGGGTGGGGAGGCTGCAGCTGTTTGCAGCCTCCTGGCTGCAGCTGACCCAGGTTCTGGGTAGCTGCTGACAGCCACGGAGCCTGGGCTGCCCAGAGCCTTGGCCAGCTGCAGCCGGGAGGCTGCAAACAGCCGCTGCCTCTGGGCCCTGGCCTCGGTCCCAGCTGCCTCCCAGCCCTGGCCCCAGGTTCCAGGGAGGCAGCAAAGCCCGGTGATTCTCCCCACCATGCTACCCTCCCTGCTGCCTCTGCAAAGCAGCGTGTGGAACACAGAGCCGCAGGGCACAGCAGGGAGGTGCACAGAAGCTACCTGCCACTCTGAGCTTCCCACTGCCCGGGCCACACTTCCCCTGCAGGTGGGGCAGCAGCGAGGAGCACAACCCTGTGCTGCTGCCTATGCTGCCCCCGTGCACACAGGGCAAGTATGACCAGGGCAGTGTAGGGCTTGCAGTGGCAGGCAGCTTCCCTGTGTGGCCCCTCTGTACACTGTTGCTCCGAGTGGCACATGCTGCACTCCCAGCCCTGCTGCTCTCCCCCGGGCCCTCCGGAGCACAGAGGGGCCACACAAGCCCCGCACTGCTGCTGCAAGCCCTGCACTGCCCTGGTCATACCCCTCGCTGTAGTGCTGCCCCGCCTGCAGGGAAAGGGTGGCCAGGGCAGTGGGGAGCTCGGACAAGCAGACAGCTGTCGTGCATCTCCCTGCTGTGCCCTACCACACTGGGTTCCACATGCTGCTCTGCAGAGGCGACAGGAGAGGGGAGCACAGCGGGGAGCATGAGCCCACAGTGTGCACCTGCCCCTCACACAGATCTGGGGGGGCAAAGGTGTTCCCCCCCCCCGCCCCCTGGGAGTGCACGCTGCTGCCAGGAGTTGGCCCCACCCCCTGCCTGAGCCCAAAGCAGGCAGCAGCAGTGGGGGAGCTGGCTCCTGCTGCAGCAGCCACTGCCTTCTGTTGGGGGCAGGGAGCTGCAGACCTGGGTCCCTGGCCCCATGGCCCTGGCAGCGGGGGGGCCCCCTCTGACAGGGCTGGGGGCAGGCTTAGGGGACTGTTGTGGGGGGAAAACAAATACACAAGATCAAAGGTAGTATCAGAAGTTTTATTTATTTTTCTGGAATGCCAGCCAGCACTCTGGCACCTTCCAAGTTAGTCATAATGGCTTTTTCGGCACTCTGGCCAAAAAGTGTTGCCTACCCCTGCTCTAACAGTTTATGGCCATTACTCCTTGTCCTCCCCTGGGTCGCCTTAGTGAACAATTTTTCTCCCAGCTCCCAATATTCACCCCTTGCATACTTACAGGCAGCCACCAAGTCCCCACTTTGGTCTTCTCTTCCCCAGGCTGCACAGTCCCATATCCCTTAGTTTTTCCCCACAGGTTTGTCCTCCAGGTGCTTAATCATTCTTGTGACCCTTCTCTGGACTCTTTTAAGATTCTCCACGTCTTTTTTGAGGTGCGGCGCCCAAAATTGGACACAGTACTCCAGCTGGGGTCTCACCAATGCCAAGTACAGAGGAAGTATCACTTCCTTAGCCCTTTTTGCAATGCATTGCCTAATGCATCCCAGTATACTATTAGCTCTGTTGACTACAGCACCGCACTGGCAACTCATGTTCAGCCCGTGATCAACCATAACCCTGAGGTCCCTTTCAGCCATTGTGCTGGCCATGGCACTGCCCCCTAACCTATGTTCATGTTGCTGGTTACTTCTCCCCAGATAAAGCATTCTGAATTTATCCTTATTGAATTGCATCCGGTTCCACTCCACCCAGCTTTCCAGCTAGAACCAAATTCAACAAAGCCTTCCCCCTGATCAGCCCATTCACCTCCAGTACTAAATAAAGGTCTTCCACACAGTTCAAAAACTTGGCCAAGTGCTCCTCCCAGCAGATGTCAGGGTAATTGAGGTCACCCATGACAACCATGTCCCTTGAACATTCAGACTCCATCAGTTCTGTGGAAAATTCCAGATACAGGTCCTCCTCCTGGTGTGGTGGTTTGTAGTAGACACCTACCACCAAGTCCCCTTCTCCTCATCCCACCCATATCTTGACCCACAGGAACTCAAGTCGCCCTTCTTTTGAACCAATTTGGGCCTCCGAGGAGGCACACCGCTCCTTTACATACAGAGCTACACCTCCTCCTTTCTTCTCTACCCAATCCCTTCTGTGCAGCCTGTAGCCCCTCTATGCATACAGCCCAGTTATGCATGGTATCCCACCAGGTCTCCATTGTTCCAATGAGATCATATTCCCTATGTGCTTGCCAGTTCCTCCTGCTTATTCCCCATATCCCTAGCGCTTGTGTCTAAACACTTGTCCCCCACTGGTAACCCCCAGTTCCCTGCTGCCTTGACATTGTTCCAGCCTTTCAACACCTCCCTAACTGCCCTCTCTACGTCCTTCCTGCTTGGCTGTTCCCCGGTTTGCATTCTTATCTGCACACCCATCCCCCACTGCAACTTGTTTAAAGCGCTCTCCAGCAAGTCAGCCATCCTGGAAGAAAACAGTTTCTTGCCCCCTGAAGAAGCATCTCTGCTTCTTCATAGATGAGAGAAGGAAGAGAAAAGCCCTCAAAGCCCAATCAGTCTGGTTTGTTATGTGCTGGAAGAAATGGAGGATTTGTGCATAATATAATACTGTGCATGTGCTTTCGGTATCACTTTCATAGCAACAGGCTTATGTCAAGATAGGTTTAGGATTTCACTGCAAGTTCCAATAGAAGAGGTCAGGTTATAAAAGGAAAAGCTCTTATTAAAGCCTGACATTTCAGTATATGTGAAGTCAACTAGATCAGTTCTTTGAAATATTGTATAAGAACCTTTGCCCACATCATCACCACCACCAGCCACAAAAAGTTTGCATTAGGGTATGGACAAATATAAAACTAGACCGTTTCAAAGATCTAATCCACTGTCACTCTTCCATTTGCCTATTCATAACCCACATTCAATACAGGTAACTGCAGAAATTCACCCCTGAATGTAACAGGGACAGGGACAGATCTGGCAGTGCAGTAGTGCAGCTGCACCCCTTTGACTCTTGCTCCATCCAAACTTTAAAGCCAACTGACTGAGAGCAGCAGCATTTCTCAGACAGCAAGAAGAAAGTCGCTTGACTTCGTGGCTCATTATAATCTACCTGAATCCTGCTAATCTCTCGTCACTCCACAGGTGTTAACAACCTCCTTTCCTTTATAATTGCCTTGATGTCCCACTATTTAAACTATCCTTTTCTCAGTAATGTTACTCTTCGTTAACCATTCCTGGTAATGCCTCTCTCCTTTTTTACAGCTATACAGACTTTTTTTTTTTTTAAGGTATAAATAAAACCTTAACTGAGGTGTGGTAATAGTAACTCAGGTGTAGAAATGACTGACAGTAAAGTGTCAGAGGTGCTGTCAAGACACTCAAGAAGCCTAGAATTTGTTTTACAAATCTGAATAATAGATGTACACATTTAACTATAATGACTGCAGGGCTAATGAAACAATATCTCTTTTCACTATAATTACCTAGTTTGTTCTGTTTGTTAAACTTTAAATATAATCTAGCAAATTAGCACACATTTCAATACATCTACATTTGTTTTTTGCTTTGACCTTAAACTGATTAATACAGTACTGGACCCCTAGCATATTACAAAAGCTTCTAGTTTCTGTATAACTGGAGAAAAATGTGAGCTGTTATACGTGATGATGCATCATACCATCTGCACCCCACCATTTTCAATATCCTATATCTGCCCATGAACAGTAAATAAAAAACCTACAGTTTAGCAGTGAAAAGATGAAACAGCTGCATACATTCCACTGCACCATACTGAGTCCCTATTAGGGCTGTGTGAAGCTTCAGTCACTGATTCGATTCAGCGGTGATTCAGCCCAATTCGGCTGCCGAATCTCTGAATCCCAATCAAATCAGGACCCTCCGAATTGATTCGGGAGAGATTCAATGATTCGGACATAGACACAGCCTTAAATGTTTTTTCTACATACCTCAAAGTACCAGGCAGCTTGTGAATGCTGAGATGCTAGGGCGGAGGGAGCGTCCCACGGGAGCAAGGGGGGGAGGGGGTCCCTAGGGTGCTCGGCAGCAGACCCAGGAGTGGACCAGAAGCACTTCCAGTCCACTTCTGGGTCCGCCACAGAGCACACAGGGGATCCCATCCCCCAGCAACTGGTGCCTCCTGGGTTTGGGGGGCACCCAGGGTCCCCCCATGGCCAATCCCCAAGGGGTGGGGGCATGCTTGTGTGTGGGTGGGGGGGGGGGGGGTGTTCCCCCCACGTGCTCGGCATTGGACCCAGAAGAGGACCGAAAGTATTGCCGGTCCACTTCTGGGTCCACTGCCAAGCACACCCCCACCATCTCAGCATTCACAAGCTGTACCCGGTACCTCGAGGTATACAGAAAAAACATTTAAAGCTCTGTCTACGGACGAATCACTGATTCTCCGAATCAGCATCCAATCTTCAGATTCAGCTGAATCGAACTGGGACAGTGATACGAATCAACAAATCAAAATCACTGTCCCCCATAATGGGCCAAATCCGAATCCAAATCGAATACAGCCCACTTCGCATACCCCTAGTCCCTATCTTGTTTAAAGCCATGTAACATTTTGGTCTGTTCGTGTAGTTGGTATGAAAGTTTTTTTTTTTAAATATATTTTAGAATTTGTAACAAAAATATAAATGTAAATATTATGTACCACAATTAGTTAAATGTTAAAGTAAACACAGGAGCAGCCTAAACAGTACATATACATGATTTACTAAACAGAACTTATTTCCTTGTAATCATACTGCCAAATTTTCTTGACCGTATCGTGAATAACTTTAAAAAATATTTAAGTTGGGGGCTGGCATCACTTTCCGGCAGTGGGCCTCCTTTGGTATGAAATGGGTCAGCACTAGGACCCAGCTGCTGCCACAACTTCTCCTTACTGCCTGGCTGTGGCATGGTGCAGGCAGAGGCCTCAGCTCTGCCTATGTTGCACTGTAACTTGTGGTAGGGGCTTTGGCAAAGTCCCCTCACTGCCAATATCCAGCTACGGTGCAATGCAGGCAAAGCCCCCTCTCTGCACCTCAACACTACCAAATACCACTGAAGCCATGGTTCTGCAGGATGGATCCAGCCTGCAGGCCATAGGTTGCAAACCCCCAATTTAAGATATAAAGTCTGGTAACTATTGAGAGGGAATAACTAGGTGTTCTCCAAAAGAAGCCAGGCCAACTAATTGTATCTTACATGGTTTTAAAGTATCTGTATTTAGTAATGCCTTATGGTATCATTTAGCTTACCTGTGTGGGTTCAGAAGCCAAGCTTTTTCTTTGTTCAGTGGATTTCTCTATTGCTTCACTAAGAGATTTAGCATACTGTACCATTGCTTTCAACTGTGAATCAGTCAAAACCCAAAGCAAATCATCCAGTATCAGAACCAGTTTCGTTGCCACTACATTACAATCCTTCAACTGTTGAATAAATTTAAAACATTTGAAAAAAACAAAAATATTACACTTGGTTTAAGAAATAAATATTTAAAAGAAATAAGAGCAAAGGCAAAGAATATGATACCAAAGAAACATGATCTTTTTCCATGCAGAAGTACCTTATTACTTCTTTTAAAAATCAGATACTTCTTTAATTAGAAAGAACTATCATTCCATTGCATAGCTACATTTGTTGCATATTAACCATATAAAAATGCTGAAGAGGTGCATTTTTCTAACTGCCAACCTGCAAATGCAACCTAAACCCTAAGAAGTACAGTGATCTTTTCTCATTATACATCGTCAGAAACACAGGCTCTCTGAACCAAATTAAATCATTAACAAAAATCTGTATAAAACTTGCAGTCTTTAAAATTTTACCCACACTATTTTTTCAACATTACACAGGTCTAACTGATTAGAGCTTTGTAAGCTAGTTTCTTGATGAAGATACAAGATGAAATCTCAAATTCAGTGAGTGATATTTTTTTACTCTGCTTCATGGATACCTCTATAGAGTGCTTTTTAAAAACATATTTCATCCACACAAAAACCAATGAAAAACGTTTATAAAATAATTACAGATTAAAAGGATTATAGGCTCAAATTTTTCACATTTACCCTTCTTTTAAGTGTGACTCTGATTTTTGACTGATTGGTAATCAATCGAACAGGAGCACACATGTTTTCATGCTGAGAACTCTGGATTGCATCTGCTTCTATTCTGATCATCTGCCAATTGATTTCTTTAAAAGTCAGTACCTTAAAAAAAAAAGAGCACCCCATTAATGTAATATTCTATTTCATCTGTTGGTAAAACTTTACATAGAATATGCAACAGCAATATCTCTTAAGTAAAAGGGTTAGGATTTGAAGCTTTTAAAAGGCCACAATTCATTTCATACTGGTTTCTTCCACAAAGTTGGCTCTCAGAACTTCTGACATTATATAGTCTTAAAATGTTAACTTGGGAAAGATGCAATAGAGCAAAGGGTTTTTTTTTCCCTTTAACTTAAATGAGCTATTGCATACATTTTCTATCCCACAGGTATAAATTCTTTCAATCTAGGAGACTGCTCAGGGGAAACCAAGCAAGAGCCATACATGAGCAAGGAAAGTAAGTGGATTGGAAGGGTTATTTATATATGAGGGAATAAACCCTGAAGAAGTTACAAGTTTTTGCAACCCACCCCCATCCCGATTCACCCTGATATTAAAAAAACACAGGAAACCAGGAAGAAACAAGGAAAACAAGTATAAAAAGAAAAAAAAAAAATCGAAGAAAGGTAATAAACAGTTTATTTTTCCCAAATATCTTTATCTGCTCCTTTACCACTACTCATGAAGCAATTACAATCCAAGGGCATTTTTACACGTGCATGAATCGCAGTGCCAGGTGCTTTGAAAAGCTCCTGGCGCTGTGACACATGCAGTTGTATAAGTGGGGAAATGCACGTCAGCACTGACAAAATGGCAGTGGTGTGCTTTTGAACCAAAACATCTTGGAGGTGCTTTAGTTCAAAAGCGCACCATCACCATTGTGCAGGAGCAGGAGGAAGCCAGGCAGACACCACTGTACCTGCAGTCTCTGTGGGAGCTCCAGCCAGGGAGCAGAGGGAAGGGGCTAGCTCTGGTGGGGAGCAGAAAACCCAGTTCAGAGAGCATGCCAGGATGCTGGGGGAGTCTAGTTTAACTTAAACCAGGAAGGGGTCTGGGACAGACATTGCATAAACCAGTTTAACCCAAATCAGTTAAGTCTGATACTACATTCAACCAGGTTTATCTCAAACTGGTTTCAGTCATTTTCAAACTGGTTTATGTGCACTGAACATCTGTTCTGTTACAGGTTTAAACCAGTTTCTGATCACTTAAAACTGGTTTGTGTGTAATGTCTGTCCCTATGCTTAATACTAGAACTAATGTTTAGGCAGCCTACAAGTAGTGGTGAAATCAGACAAGCATTCATTTCACATATAAATACACCCAAGCAGTACTTCAGAATTCCTTAGCTTACCATACCTATTAAGCACATGGATTTGGAACATCTATACATATGATTTCAAAAATCTGTCATTAACCTGTTATTAACGTTCATATAAACTACATTAGGTCCACAGGGTACAGAGTAAACACGAAGTACAAGTTTTTATAGGTTGATTAACTTTCTAAATATTTTTGTGGGTTTTTAAGAGAATTAGCATTTGCTTTTCTTACGTAAGTGGCAGATATTGGTCAATCTAGTCCAGAAGAACAGTATTTGCTGGGAATAATTAACCCTAAATAGAACAAGATGGACATAGTTCCAAATAAAGTCCATACTAACACACTTCAGCCCACTTGGCTGACAATTTTTGGAGCAGTGATTCTCAGCCAGGGTGCTAGGGTGCCATTGTCAAAAACATTCTGATCTGTTATGGTTTTTCTGATTTCTTTGGAACAGAAGAATTGCTTTATTATTTTTCCACAGGCAAAAAACAAGTGAAAGCTAAGAACTGGCATTTTCGGGGGGGGGGGGGGGGGGGGCGTGGGGGGGGGGGGGGGGGGGGGGTGTACCTTGAGTCTCAAAAGGTTGAGGACCACTGTTCTAGAAGCACATGGAGGCAGCAGAGACCAATGAGAGTGCAGAAGCACTCCAGACACAGCCAGGGTATGTTTTCTAGATAGTTTACAATTATAAAACCACAGTTTATTTACTTTCCTTATTGGGACAATAATAAAAACAAAAAGCAAAAAGAATTCTTTACCTCTCCTCGCTGAGATTCTTGTATCCGAGTAAATCTTAGATCACCGTGTTCCCAGTTTGCGTTTACACTATATATTCTCAACTGGGAAAGTTCAAAGGAAGCATTAAAAGCTTTTGCCCCAATCCGGATTATGATGGAGTTCACAGAAACAGAAATTCCTTCTACCACTTTTTCAGCAAAACCATATTCACTGGAAGGTAAAATGCTGAGATTAAACTACAGATAACTACTGTAACAATTCAAATAAAGACATGAAAATACAATAAAAAGCTTATAGTGAATCCCACTCTGCATAAAATACGTTTAGGCTTGATAGAATTACCACAAAAGGTAAGCCTACCACAAAAAGGTAGGCTTTTCCTACAGGTTGGCTGATCTCCTACATCAGGCTTTAAACTAAGTATGAAGGGGCCCTTTGGGCATCAGAACGGGGAGGATACCAAAGGCACCATTTGGCGGGCTCAAGTGCCTCTATACTAATGCTAAGAGCATGGGAAACAAGCAGGAAGAACTCACACTTCTGCTTGCAGATAATAACTTTGATTCAGTGGGGCCAACGGAAACCTGGTGAGACCCTACCCATGACTGGGCGGCACACACCGAGGACTACAGGCTGTACAGAAGGGACAGAGTAGGGAGGAAAGGAGCTGTGGTTGTTCTGTATGTAAAGGAGCATTATACATCTACCCTAATTCAAAATGGGATGAGGAAAGACTGAGGGACCTGGACCTCTTGAGCCTCCGCAAGAGAAGGCTGAGAGGTGATTTTGTGTCCGTCTACAAATTCATTAAGGGGATGCAGCAAGGGATTGGAGATGCTCTGTTCACCAGGGTGCCTCTTGGGGTAACAAGGAACAATGATCACAAACTGTCAGAGAGCAGATTTAGGCTAGATATCAGGAAAAACTTCTTCACGGTAAGGGTGGTCAAAATTTGGAACGGGCTTCCAAGGGAGGTTGTGCTCTCCCCTGCCTTGGGGGTCTTTAAAAGAAGGCTGGATAGGCATCTGGCTGGGGTCATCTGACCCCAGCACTCCTTACTGCCTAGACAGGGGGTCGGACTCAATGATCTGTTGAGGTCCCTTCCGACCCTAACATCTATGAATCAATGAATTTGGAATAAGAAATATAGTATCATCCCCACCACACTTTTTCAAACTATTCAAAACAGATATTTTATGCAGTTCAATTTTGGTGAAACAAAATGATCCATGCAAATTCCCACTTTACATGTCTCAGTAGTTTACAGTACTATGCATAAACCCAGCATCTACTTATGTATATTTTAATATATGTCAAATGAATTATTCTACTACTACAGAATATTAATTTTACTAATATTTATCTGTATGAGCAGAATTACAAAGTGATTAAAATGTGTGTATTTTGCAAGGCAAAACAGAAGTAAAGAAAACTTTATGTTGAAAAGAACAGCCAAAAATGGTAAGACATATAGTCAAGAAGCTGCATTTTATTTTAGAAGGATGCTAAACTTAAAACTGATTTATAAAAGTATTTTTTTATTTGATCCATGAACACCATCTCAGTTACTTACGAATTTTAAATAATGTTCAGAATACAATTTAACATCATCCATTTTGTTCACCTTTGTCAACTTAGGCAATGAAAGTAGTTTGTCATGTCATTTCTTCTTTTATGATGCTCCTTTGAACATTACACAGGATCTCTAAGGCAGTGAAAATTTAGGTCCCAATCATGCATCTGGACTGATGCAAGCACACCCTTTGCTACTGGGCAAAAGTGACCTTTCAAGAG